GCACCAAAGAATTGATGCTTTTGAACTGTGGTGTTGGAGAAAACTCTTGGGAGTCCCTTGGACTGCAAGGAGATCCAACCAGTCCACCCTAAAGGAAATCAGTCCTGGGTGTTCATTGAAAGGACTAATGCTGAAGCTGAAGCTCCAATACTTTGGCTGCCTGATGCAAAGAGCCGACTCATTGGAAAAGAGCCTAATGCTGGGAAAGATTGAAGGCAGGAAGAGAAAGGGATGGCAGAGGGTGAGATGGTTGGATGACACCACCGACTCGATGGACATGAGTGTGAGTAAGCTCCAAGAGTTGGTGATGGACAGGGAGGCCTGGCGTGCTGCAGTCCATGGGGTCACAAAGAATCGGGCACCACTAGCAACTAAACAGAACAGTACAGATAACTCACTGTTGATCACTGATTGATTTCTGGATATTGAACCATCTTTCTATCCCTGAAATAAATCTCACTCAATCATGATTTATGACCCTTTTCATATTTTGTTACATTCAGTTCACTAATATTTTGTTGCAATTTTCACATCTGTGTTTTTTGGGGATATTGGTCTGTAATTTTCTTTCCTGGTGGCATCCTTGTCTCGTTCTGGTACCAGGGTAATGCCTCATTGAATGAGTTTAGAAGTGTTTCTTCCTCTTCAGTTTTTTGGAATAGTTTGAGAAGGAAAATTGTTAACTCTTCATAAAATGTTTTGTAGAACTCACCTGTGAAGTCCTGAACTTTGCAGTAGTTTTCTTTTTTTAATTACTGATTCAATTTCATTAATAATGATTGGTCTATTTAAGTAACATTTCTTCTTGATTCAGTCCTGAAAGAGTGTGTTTCTAGGAATTTATTCATTTCTTATATCAGCTGATATTTTTATGGGTGCTTTCTTGTACTTAACTTTTTTCTTCCTTACTTCTTTTAAGATTCTTTAACTAGCTCTTTTAATCATAATATGTCTAGGTATGGACCTCTTTGGGTTCATCTTCTTTAGGACTCTCTATGCTTACTAGGTGCTTTCCAGGTGGGACTAGTGGTAAAGAACCTGCCTGCCAATGCGTGAGATGTAAGAGACATGGGTTCAGTCCCTGGGTCAGGAAGATCCCCTGCAGGAGGGCACAGAAACCCACTCCAGTATTCTTGCCTGGAGAATCCCATGGACAGAGGGGGCTAGTGGGCTAGGCTCACAAAGAATCAAGCACAAATGGGGTCACAAAGAATCAAGCACAGCTGAAGTGATTTAGCACACAGGTACATACTTCCTAGGCTTTGGGGTCTGTTTCCTTCACCAGGTTAGAGAAGTTTTCAGCTTTTGTTTCTTTAAGGACCCTTTCTGGCCCTTTCTCTCTCTTCTTCTTCTGGGGCCCTCATATTGTAAATGTTAGTAAGCTTTGTGCTGTCCTAGCTTTTTACTCACTTTTTTTTCCTTCTCTGACTGGGTGATTTTCACTACCCTGTCTTCTGAATCACTGATTCTCTCTTCTGCATCCTGTAACCTGCTATGGATTCCCTCTGCAGTATTTTTCATTTCAGTTATCGTATTCTTTAGTTGTGATTGGTTCTTTTTTATACTTTCTGTCTCCTCATTGAAGTTCTCCTTGGGTTCATGCATTCTTCTCCCAAGTTTGGTGAGCATCTTTATGACTATTACATTGAACTTTTTATCCGATTAATTGCTTATCTCCATTTTTCTCAAGAAAAGCTTCCTTTTCTGAGGTTTATCTTGTCCTTTCATGTGGAAGATGTTCCCTTATCTCCTCATTTGGCCTAACTTTCTGTGTTTATCTCTCTGCGTTAGGTTTATCAGCTACATCTCCTTGTCTGAAAAAGTGGCTTTACGTGGAAGGTGTCCTGTGGGGTCCGTCCGAGAGCACGATGCCCCCTGGTCACCAGAGCGGGGTGCTCCCAGGGTATCCCCTGTGGGACTTACGCATCCTCCTGTTGTAGTTGGGTCATGGTTGCTATGGGGGCACTGATGGGCAGGAGTTGCCCCTAGCTGGCCAGCTGCAAGACCCAGCCAAGATTGTGACAGACACGCTGACATAGGGGCCAAACTCTGAGAGTGGGAATTGCCTTGGCGGGCCCATGCCATCCGGTGCTGCCCCCGCAGTGTGGAACAGGAGCTGCTTTGGGGTGATGGGCCGGGGTAGTTCCTCAAGCAGTGCTGGGGAGAGGTGCCCAGTGTTGTAGCTAGGGGGATGGAGAGTGTCAGAACGCTGCCCACCAGCGCTGGGCCAAGCAGATGGAAAGGGAGGAAACAGCACTTACCAGCACATCTGTCCTCAGATGCTCTTATTTTTTTTTAACTATTTCAAGATCAAGTTTTATTATAGGAAGGCAAAATTGGTTTACCATTTGAAAATCAATTAATGTAATTTACCTCATAACCAGATAAAGGAAAGAAATTACTTATGGTCATATTAATAGATTCAGAAAAAAGAAACTTAATTGATTATATTCAACACCTGTTCATGATTTTAAAAAAGAAAAAGCAAAATCTTGGCAATTTCAGATTAGAAAGTATTTTTTTCTCTTTCTTATTTTTTAAATTATGAAAATATGAAAAAATACTTATAGGAGACTTGGAAAATGTAGAACAAAGTTACATATAGTTCCACTATATATTACAATTATTTTTTAATAGATAAAGATTTTTAGTTGGAGTTTCAATATCAAACTCTCAAAACTTAATGGACTGAATATACAGAAAAGTAGAAGGACGCAGTACCCCTGAAAAGCAGACCCAGGTGCTTTTCAAGCTGCTGCTTGCATGCTGGGACTCAGAGCAAGTGGGCTTGTGCAGGAGCCTCAAGGATGGAGGCTTGGTTTCCCACAGCCCTCAGGCTCTCCTGGAGGTAGGCCCTGCTGGCTTTCACACACAGGCGTTTGGGAACTTGTCTTCCCAGGGCAGGTCTCCAGGGCTGGAAAGCCCCACAAGGGACGTGGACCCCCGCTCCTCGGGGTAACCTTCTCAGCTGGACTGTCCCTCCGCTTGTGGTCAGCATCCCAGGGGAGTGGCCTCTGACTGGACCACTTCTCTGCGCCTCCTGCCCGTCTTGATCTGGCCTTTCCTTTATATCCTCGGTTGTGGAACATCTGTTCTGCTATCTTCAGGTCATCCATCCTCAGAGATAGTTGTTTCATATACAGTTGTAGTTTTGGTGTGTCTATGGGAGGAGGTGAGCTCCGGGTTTTCCAGTTCACCGTCTTGATCAGGAATCCTGAAAAAACTTAAACTTTTCTCAAGCACATGCTGATTTCCCACCTCTGTGAAAATCCTCAAGAATGGATGCCACACTTCAAAGCCTTATCCATTTTAGAAAGAGCCTTGCATACTAAGTGGATGTGGGGTTAGCAGGAGAAAACAGATCCTGCCTTCTAGCTTCCATCAACATTGGAGGGACAGTATTGGGAATGATTGTTCTTACTTTTGAACTTACAAAGTTCAGCTGTTATTGGTTCATAATGAGGGAAACCTTCTGTTATTTGTAATCCAGTGGCCCATAGAGTAGTTCGTGTGTCTGATACAGATTTGACTTTTCAGATTTGTTAACAGTAGGGGCCTTAGGAAGTGGGAGGCGTGTGTGTGTCAAAATGACGAAGGACACAGTGGTCAAACGGGGCAGGACAAACAACGCATAAGGCCTTCAAACAGCTTGTAAGGCCCTGCATGAAGAATTATCCTTCCCAAATGCCAGTAACACTCTTTTTCTGACCTCATTTTTCCAGCATACATATAAATGCACTGACTTAAAACTTTAGAAATAAACCCCGAGAGTCGAAATGGAAATCTCCAAGGCTACCACCTGAAAAACTACAGCAAACACAGTTCTTCAATGACAAGAACCTCTAGTCACGTTGGGTTAGGACACTGCTGCTGCTTTATTTCTTTTCCTACAGAAGCTACACTGATGCCAAACTGTCATCCTGCACCTACAGGCCATGCACACACACGTCTCCTTGCAGACAGACCAGCCTTCAAGTCCTTTCCAAATTTCAGGAGAGGCCTGCCCTAAAGGCGTGAAAAACTTATTCTAGAAAAATGGGGAAGCTGTTACTGACCTTATTAGCATTCCTATCTGAACATTTTGCTGTGAAACAATTATAAAATAAGACCCTCTGGCTTTGGGGCAGCCTTCATAAGGAATGAGCCTGGGACCTTAATAGGGAGTTGGAGTGAGAATTTCTCATGTGCTTTGTGCAGTTCAACACCCCTATCTATTAACAGCAGGTCAGTATTAACCTAATGATATGAGAGCTTTGTACAAATACATTTTTACCTTTGACAGGAGATATATAAATGTTACCCTATTTTACAAATACATAAATTATTTTTTCTTGTTTTATGACTCCTCATATGCACTGAGATTCATGTGGAATAATGTATTTTGCATTATATTAAAATCTGAGAACTGAATTTAAATACATAGCTTTTAGCAGATATGTTCTTCTTTTGAAATTATGTTCCAGTGTTATTAATCCTTGTTAACCAAAAGTTCATATTTCTTCAGTTATTTTCTTTCTTCCTAATTTTTTAGCCTGTGATATTAAGCACTCACTGAGATGACTTACTGAGAGTCAACTTAACAAGGTCTTGTAATAGTGGGAACTGGCTGGAACTATTAAATATACTCCAGGTAGTAAATGTTATTTTACTGCAGAAATGTTTATAAATATAGACTTGGAAGGGTACTTTCAAATGACCTAACTGCAAACACTTTTCCTAATTGTTCACATATGTTGAATGAAAGTCACCTATAGAAAAGAAATCCTGGGGACATTTCACATTTGAATATGTGTAAATTTAGGATATTGTGCCACGTGTTCAGGCCACTGTTGTAGGATCCAGTATTGTACTGAGTATCTGTAGCATAGTCTTTAGATATAAATGTGTGAAGATATTCCACTGGGTGTGTTTTACACATGCACCTCAAAGTATCCCCTGAATGCACATCAGTCAGAGAGCAAGCTTACTTTTTTGTCTCTCTTTGTTTATCTCCTCCTTAGGCTACCGAGGACAGAAGGGAGAAAGGGGGGAACCGGGAATTGGGCTTCCAGGGAGCCCAGGTCTTCCTGGGACTTCAGGTAATAGTGATATTATCTTTGCAACATGAGCCAGCATCCAAAAATAGGAGCCACACCTGCCCCCTGTGGCCCTTTGGTGTCACTCCGGTTGACATTGAAGGACTCGTGTCGGTTGGAGGGAGGGAGGAAGATCTATATTCCTGCATTCTGATGGGGTCTTTTATTTCATTAGCTCCGGGCTTGCCAGGCTCACCAGGTGCCCCAGGGCCCCAGGGCCCCCCAGGACCTAGTGGAAGATGTAACCCAGAAGATTGCCTGTATCCCGTCTCACATGCCCGACAGCGAACCGGTGGGAAGTAACCACACCCGAGGAAGACTCGACTCCAGTCACCTCTCCTTGCTGTTGGAGCTTTCTCAATACTGTCAGACCCTCATGATCGTGGGTGACTTTTTTTTTTTTTTTTTTTTGGTGTAGGCCAGACATTAAAAACAAAAATCGGAATCCTATTCCTATAGTAACTGCGATGTCAGCCTTTTTAGAATTTTTTTCCAAATTCATTCCATATGTCTTGCTTCACCATTATTATGATTTTTATTCAGGGTTTTCTATGAAATATGCAAGCACATCTTATCATTAGTTCTTCTTTAAGAGAAACTGATACCTTATGATTTAGTAGACTGATGGTGATGTACGTTTTGTAGTCTCATCAACTTGTATTTGGCCTTTCATTTCTGAATTTCAAAGTTTCAGACTTGTCTGGAAGTTTCCTCGGTATTTAAACTCACTATCATTGCTGACAGTTTCGTTAGCTTTTTTGATATAGTGCATCGCTCCTGCTGAATGTTTTTTGACCACTTTCATAGCTTAAGAATTCTTACACCATCCTTTATCCATTCTACTTATGTAGAGAAACAGACAGGCAATAAGACCTTCATAACTTAGATTCTGGAAGAAAACTCAGGAGGCTGTTTTATCAGGGAGCCCAAAATCCTACCAGAGCCAACTACTGAAATGATTTTGTTGATCCTGTGTAATGAGCTCCTGTCAAAGCAGTCCCACCAGCATGGGTGTGTCCTGCGTAAGAAGGAAGGAGCGAAGCCAAGGCCCAGCGCTGTGGTCCCTTTGCTGAGTTCCTCATTTGGGAAACAGAAAGCTGATTTTTCTGGGAGGTGGCTGGTGGTGAAGGCACCCAGCTGTCTTTGGTACTTTCAAAGTTTAAAGGGCCTCGCAGAGTCTTTGGGCCCGAGTCCATTAGCCTTCTGACCTCATCACTCTCAGATGTTAAGAACCAGCCACCAGAACAAAGGATGGGGCTTCTTGCGGCTGGAAAAGAAACCTCCTTGTGCTAGAAGATGAGCGTGTGGTATCCACAGATGCATATCAACAGGCGGAAGCTGTAGGAAGAAGGATGCTTCCCAGAAGCTGCAGCTACAGGTTCAGGGCCGTGAAGGAAATCCATGAGACCGAGCAAGAGTCTGCGCCCTTCAGGGCAGACACTGCCCAGACCGCATCCCTGACCGGGGACGGAAACGTGTGATGGCCAACCAGAGAGCCGAGTGGTAGTTTCATGGCCTGGCCATACATTGTTTTGAGAAACTGTTGGTTGAAAACGATGTCCTGGAACCCTGGGCAGGAGGATGTTGTTGAAATCTGAGTGGTGGGTCCTAGGGATGCTGAGAGTGTGCACCCCACCAGCCACTGCCCCGCCACAGACACCTGCCCCTGGGGCAGACTGTGAAAAGCTGTGAGCACGGTCTGTGGACAGCCTGCCTCCATGGAGGCAGCTTTGTTCAGATGTACCCGGGGTTTGAACTGGTTTTCATTGTAGTTGGCTGAACTGATGGTCAGGTACTATCTACGTGGCTGTGCATATGTACAACCTTTTTGTTATTTCATGTTGAATGATGCTGTATATTTCACTTCCAAGTTTATTTATTTTCATTTCCAAGGTCATTTTATTTATTTCAAGTGTTGTTAATTTTAAATTTATTTTCTCTTTCATTTTCTTTCCTGTGCAATACCTCCAATGGTGCTGTGTTTTAGACTGACACAATCAGAATATACATATACATTTTCTTAGTAAAATTATCATTTATCCCCACAAAATGTACAGAGGTCTAAAATCTGGTGCTATGTGTATATCTTGAGCTTTTAATTTGTGGAGCTTTAATTTGTTGAATTTTCTGAAAGCTTACAAACTCCTCTGCCATTCGTTAATTTACTTGAATTTGTCATAAAGCTGAAAACATTTTCTATGTTTTCAAAGATTATTTTTTCATATTAATTGTTTGCTTATTCTTTTGCTTCTTTGTTAATTCAGAAGTATTTATTTTGGCATTTTACTGCTTTCATGAACTTTTTTGTCAATGGTGATCAATGCATTGTTTTCTTGGAGTCGACCCCTTCACAGACGCAAGAAGACTCGGTTCATTTTCTGGTTTTATAACTCTGCTCATTTTGATTCCAGAGAATATTTCATGTGTCCTTTCTACAAATTAAGTATTTCCAAACCTTTCTTTTTCTAAATTCCATTAATGCTGGACTGGTTTATTCCTGTTTCAAGGGTCTGGATTTAGTTAGGTGATTTGAGGAGTTGATGCCAATTATAAACTCGAGTTGTCACAGTGACTCAGGCCCTTTCTAAACAACTGACATGTGTGATTCAATCCTACTTGGGCATAACCAGAGGAAAGGGCTGTATCACATGGAATGAGCCTCTGCTTGCTGCCTGTCCAGGATGCAGCGAACAGCAGCAAGAAGGGCTGCACCCGGCAAACACAGCACCAGTAAAGTGAAGACCTGGCAGTTGCCTGATTCTTTGAACAAAAAGAAAGTGAATAATTAAGGCCCCAAACAGGGCGTGAAGACTTCCCCCAACTGCCTTGGTGGTGGCCAGTTCTCTTGTTTCGTTTTGTTCCATTCCAGAACCTTTGTTCACTTCCACGCAGAAGTCAGCAGTGTCCACAGCAGGGAAGAAGAATGACCACATTTCATGAGTTATTTCTTGTCTGGACTCCACACAACATAGTGTGTTTAAATACAAAGTAATTGCAGCCCATGATGGCAACAGGCTTCCCACGTAGCACGAGTGATGAAGAACCTGCCTGCTAATACAGGAGATACAAGAGATGCAGGTTCAGTCTCTGGGTTGGGAAGATCCCCTGGAGGAGGGCATGGCAACCCACTCCAGCATTCTTGCCTGGGGAATCCCATGGACAGAGGAGCCTGGCGGGCTGCAGTCCACGGGGTGGCAAAGAGTCAGACACGACGGAAGCCACTTAGCACGCACAAACATGATGGCAATTAAAAGTTGTGTGTTTGCCCTATAGAAGTATGTTTGAATTCCAGTCTAACATTTTCTGTCAAGATCAGCTAACACTGTCAGATAGAAATCCTTCTATGCAAAGAACAAGATTTGACTTCAATTAATATTTATGGCCTCTAGACTCTAAAGAAAAAGGAAGAATAATTCATGACTTTGTTTATTCTTCTCTTCTACTGAAGACATTAACCATTTTTTCATAACCATAACAGAAACACAGCCAGTCTTAACCTTTGAAATTTTTCACCTTGTTATCAAAGTTTAATTTAATCAATGACTTTAAAGTATTGATAATCCCATATGCTTATTTCTTTGTTTCATAACATTGTTGAAACTTTAAAATTTTAGACACTTTTATGATAGAGCATCAGTAATTATCTTAAGATACGTTATCTGTAAAAGATGTCATTTTATGTTTGGATTATAAAATAATTTATGAGTATGTTTTAGGAGTTAAACAAGATTGAGCTTTTCTGCAGTCTTTCTCCACTGTAGAGAACCTGTGATATATCACCTCTTGTCCACCAGATGGTGTCTTAAGCAATTTGTATCAGAAGAATTGAACAGACTTGCAGAAATACAAAAGGCTAGAAATAGCTGAGTAGACAACTCCATCAAAACCTTTGCTTTTGCATTTACTCTTTTTTACTTTTGTAAATAATTTCTTGTTAATTTATGTTTTGTTATTTTGTTTTATTTATGTTTTCCTCACTTTAAATATCTTTATGAAGCAGGCACAATAATCTTTGATTTGTTGGCTGTTTCAGTTTTATTTCATAAGTGTATTTATATAGCTAGCTAACTAGCAAATTTACTATTTGTAACTTCAGTTTGTACACTACCCTCGTATTTTAGTGATTAACAGGAAAACACTTGAGTAATCATCTTATCTGTTAAAGAGGATAGAAAGTCTCTTTTGGCAAATAAAAAGAATTTAGCTTATCACAAGAAGTAGACCATTTATAGAATTAGACAATGTCCAAACCTTCATATTGCTCAAAGTACTTAAAAGTTTACAATTAGATTTGTATAATTATATTTTTTTAGAAATAAATGTATCACTATTTACAAAAGTAAGATAAGAAAGACTATTTTTCAAAATACCATTTAAACTTTCCTAACATTGGCGATAATATCCTAATATTGAGAATTTCCAAGTTAAGTTATATGCCTAAGGTTTTTCCAGTGAAGTCTCAGAGTAGTTTTGCAGATTTGTTCATTGCTCTTGTTTTTAAACTATTTTTCACATTTGTCTGTGCCCACCTCCTTCAGACACACCAGTGTTTAATGTCATTGTTCCCCGGTGTCCATTCTTAAACGCTAGTGTGGAGACTTGGACCCCCTGTTAGAGCCCTCTCTCACAGCTTACACAGCCTTCCAAGAGGGAGAGACAGAGACCGAGTTGAATTTTTGTCTTTTATGCCTATTACTTCAAATTGACTCAAGCCACTGAATTGTATTCACTCATTAGTTGACTGGTTAAGGTAGCGTTCATGACATGAAACATGTTTAACTACTGGGAGTCTCAGGAAATAAGACAGATTAATGACCTCAGTCTTGTGTGGTGTGACTGGAGCAATACCCCAAACACTTCACCCAGCAAAATTGTGCCAGAGTAACTGCTCAAGTCAGTTAAATTGAATGAAGAACCAGGTGAACACAGAGAAAACTCATCCAGAGGAGCAGACCCAGAACAGCAAAAATTTACCTCAAAGATAGGGCAGGCTTATAAAACCAAGCTGTCTAAGAAAAATCTAAATGGAAAAATATGCCGTGTTCAGAGCCAATAGGCTTCCCTGGTAGCTCAGTTGGTAAAAAATCCACCTGCAAACGTAGGAGACCCCGGTTCGATTCCTGCCCCCAAAAGATCCCCTGGAGAAGGGATAGGCTACCCACTCCAGTATTCTTGGGCTTCCCTTGTGGCCATGCAGGAGACCTGGGTTCGATCCCTGGGTTGGGAAGATCCTCCGGAGAAGGGAAAAGCTACCCACTCCAGTATTCTGGCCTGGAGAATCCCCTGGACTGTATAGTCCATGGGGTTGCAAAGAGTTGGACACGACTGGGCAGCTTTCACTTTCAGAGCCAATAGTGAGTGATATAGGTCACAACTCCAGGAGTTAGCTACTTGCTTCATGAATTTGTCAAAAGAGAATACTAATAAAGGAGAGATTTCACTAAATTTGGGGGTAGTTCAGTAAGATTTGAGTTTATCAGAAGGGTGTGTGTCGCCTGACAAGGATAAGCATATGGGTGTAAAGATGCTAATTGTATCACAATGTTTTATTTTGCTCTTTTATTTAAAGTACATTTTAGGGATAAATATTTTTCAGTGTATTAATATATTTAAATTCAGATTGTTTTATGACATACTTTTAAACTATTTATTTTTAAAATAAGACTTTGGGTGCATTTTTGTCCATTCTCTTTGTTCTCTTATCTTACCTCATCAAGCTATGTAAGGTTTAATTCAGCATACTGCTGTTAAGTGGAATGGCGCTAGGTTTATGCTAAATCCCACGTGGTTATACTGCTTTGAGGAGTTGATTCCTGTATGTTTGTGTTGCATAATGAGTTTGTCCCTTATCTCAGCAATAAAGGATTTGACCCTCGATCAGGGAGTTCTGAGGTGCAGTTGTTAGCAGCATCTCTTCTTTAGCTGAAGCTCCACATCTCAGCCCTGCTGACGGGTGTCAGTCAAGGGAGGCTGCAGGCACACTCACTCCCAAGCGTGAGCCCACAGATGCCGAGCTTGCAGACTGGCCTGTTGCGGGGCTTATGTCAATACCATGCTCGTAATCATAATTTCGTTTGGCACATGAATCCACACTTAGCTTGTAAGAGTTACAGTCATAGCCCAGCTCAGTGGCAGCTCATAAAAAGCTCGGTCTGATGATTTTGGATGAGAATTAAAAGCAGAAACAGAGGATCCAGGCCTTTGTGACTTTGGTCACACATGGTGATCTCCTCAGTAAATCATGTGGGCTTGAGCAAGATGAGAAATGTCAGAGTTAACTTTTCTCAGAAACATAAGCTCTTCCATACTGAGTGATGGGCCATTAGGTTAAATACACAGCATGTCTCTTTAACAGAAATGAATCCCATCAAAACCTGCCAGTGGATTTAGATTCCTGCTTAGACTGGGAAATGATTTACAGCGTTCTTAACGATCCTCACCCTCAGGTCCATCATGAAGAGTAAAGTAATCGTGTGCTCTCTAAGGGATAGTCTGAAGTCTTTTCACACAAAAATCTTCAACTTGGAGGCCAGAGACAAATTCAGACAAATCTTAAAGTTTCCTGGAGCCAGTTCCCATCATTTGCTTTCTCTGTAGGTATTCTTGGAAAATTTGGCATCAAGAGCGAGATGTGAAAGGGATTGTTAAGGGGAAAGTTAGCATGGATTCCCATTTATTAAGATTAAAAATAGGATCAGTCAGCATCCTCTTCCTGATAACCAGATACATTAAACTGTATGTATAATGTACCAACCAATGCATTATACTTCCTCTAGTTAGTTCTTTAAAGAGCGTTTGGGCATGTGTATCTATAGTCATATGTTCTTATGGTAAACCAATTCTGATTTAATATTTACTGAGCCATATGAATTAATACTGCCATGTCCTGGATCAAAGCTCATTAACAAAGACTCAGTACATAACTGAAAAGTATCAGTTTTACTCTAGAAAAAAAAAAAGAGAGACTTGACCTATATTTATTGAACACAAATGTTCTTTTTTCTGAAAAGATATTTTAAATAATTTACATCCATTAAATTACTGTTTACTGTTTGTAAACAGTAGGATTACTTGTTGGCAAGTGTTTTTCTTAATATTGCTTTTTCACACCTTTTGCCAGGGCTCCCAGAAAATGTTTAGAAACCATTTTCTTGATATTTAGTGTGACTGTATGTATTTCTAGTGATCTTCCCCCGTATTGGTTTATTTTTAAACTCAGACATGTTAATTATCAGAGAAGCTGTAAGAGCAAAAAAAAATAAAGAATACAGAGATTTATCTTCTAAAGCAGGGATTTACATTAAGCTTATTTCAGGTTGCAAGTAAATCAGATTTTACTTAAGATGTTTAAGGATAGCAATATTCATGTAGTTAGCTTGAAATAGTGTGTCCATAAATAATAAAATCAATCATGAAACTGATACAACTACTCATTCATCCCCTTCTGCTAGACAAAGTCAATTATCCCAGACTGTGCCGGGGAATTTATGTGCTCAGTCACCAGGAAGTGATTTCCACGGTTCTTACCCAACCTGTCAGATCCATGGGATGGAAAGCAGGTCACAGTGTCACAGACACACTGGCTTAGAATTAGATCATCAGCCCTTGAGTGAGTAACACGCACGTCTCTAACCACTTGTAATTACCTCCACACTCTTCTCAGCAACTCGGACACCTTCCAACTTCCCCGAGGTCTGGAGGATTTCTGTTTTGCTGAAGAGAGAGATTTGGTGTAATTCAGGATTTATCAACATTCTTTCATGGAGAGGATCAATGAGATGCTTTTATTTGTGATTTCTCCATCAAGTCTATACTGCTTCTGGAAACTGTTTCTGAGCTGGATTTATGATGGATTACTCCCATCATTGGAATGTGCTCATTTCAGACAATCTCTTTGTAAGCGGTGGTTCCAGTCTGCTGTGTGTATGGAGCTTGCTGTCCAGCCTTTTGTATATCAAGTTTGTAGAACAGTTGATTCAACTTTTCCTTGAAATTTTATTTTTTTTAATTTTCTTATGAATCTGATAAACCTATTTATCAGAACTGAGAAACATATTTATTTGTTTATCTCATTTTTCTTTTATTGTATCTGACTGTGTATCTGACTCCAGTTAAAATAAAACCTCCTTGGTGAAAATAAAGGTAATTTCTTGGCATTTATTAGATTACATGTCACAGCACCTGAAAAGGTTTGCCATTCATGTGGAGCCCATGTAAGTAGTTATGACCGATGTCTCTGTCTGCAAAGATGGTCTCTTCCCCAAGGAGGAGGACCGTCCTCCCTGGCGTGAAGGTGGCACTGACTATGCAGCCGAGCTGGAATCATTCCCCTGCAGATAACCCACACCAGGAGCCCGGGACTCGAGGCTGTGAGCGGCTTCACAGAAACCCAAACACATGTTACCTACTGATTGATTTAACCAAACGAATGGGGCTAAGGTTTTAAAATGCTGAGAGCCCAGCTGAGGGAAGAAATGTGTCACCAATGAGGTGAGGCATCACCCCTATCAGGGCTCACTCCCCTTGACTTGAGAGAACGGAGTTCCATAAACGGAGAAGATCCTGACTGGCGCGCTCTGCTATGCCTGGGACAGGCGTTCATATGCCCTGTGACACAGAATGGCTATGTTAAGGCTGGTCGACAGTTAATGCAGATGTTGACAAAACAGCAGGCCAGGGTGATTATGTAAATAGTAATGGAGTGCTTGCGTGGCCAGGCAGTACCTATCTTATTGATAAGAATACAGTGCTTTAGCTGAGCTGCCTTTATACAGTTTATAAGAAAAAAGAGCACAACATAAATCATTTGTGCAGTGAAGCTCTAAACAGGACAACACTGAAATGAAGGCAGCACTTTCTCTCCTAGGAGCCAAGCAAGGCTAGACTTGCGGGCCCGTGCAATCTGCCACAGCATGCAAGCAGATTGGTGCAAGTGCATTTGTACATTTTTCTGGACAGTTCATTTCTAAAAGGTCCATGAAACCTCCTCTACCGACCCCTGCAACCCACCACACTCCCCCCGCCCCATACACATACATACAAAGAACTCCGTCACAAGGCCACAGCCTCTGGGGAGCAGTAAGGGCTTTTTAATTTCTCTGTAGAACAAAGCACCAACATTATAAACACAGGCCTACAGAAATGCCAGTATTTAAAAAGCTTTACATATCTGAACAACGGTAAGTGACTTCTTTTCGTTGAACACAGCTATAAAAAAACATGCAAGAAAGTAAGAAACCATATTTATTGCTGCTTTGGTACAACCAGAGACGTGACCTCAAACCTTGAAAATAAATAATCTCATCAATAAAACTACTGAATGGTGGGGTATTAAGATTCTTTCTTTGCTTTCACATGGACGAGCCCCAAATACGGATGGGTTTGGATACAGTACAGTTCAGCAGAAAGGCAAGCTGACGCTGAGAACCCCACGGGTGTAAGGCAACCACCCCAAGTGGCACAGCAGCCGCGGAGTCCCCAGGAGCACAGTGATGGGATCTAAGCACCAATTCTGTGGACAGGAGTGGGGCTGCTGCTTAACTAGTCTGGTAAATCCTTGCAGAGCTGAAACGAGAGCACGCGCTCACTCCAAAATGGAAATAACTACTGCATCTGAGGTAAACCAAAGAGCGGTCTCTGTTTATTGGCACAGTGGCCTGTGACGTACCCCACACGGATAGCACACGTGAGTTCAAGGCCCTGGGAACGGGACTGCCGAGTCACTCAAAGGGAGCGGTGTTGTCTGTCTGTCTGTCTGTCTGATCCACTGCTCTGTGGCTCCCCTCAAAGAGAAAGGAGAGAGGATTTGCTGAATAGCACCATTGTCCTAAACCTGACGGTCAGATGGGATTTCTAGGGTACCGGTGAAGGGGGGTGTTGCTCCCCCAGGCGCCTTCCTCAGGCGTGGTTTCCACCGACAGCCGCGTGGCACCATGACCTTCACTGGCTGGGACCTTTGGTGTTGAACGCCCGCTGACCGGCCTGCATGGTGCAGGACGCTGGCTCGCAGAAACCAGGAGGGCCCGGGGGGCCCGGGGGGCCGGGCACACCGGGGATGCCCGCCGGCCCTGGGGGGCCTCGCTCGCCGTCCCGGCCGTTCCTCCCGTAGCTGGCAGGACCCGGGTCACCTGAAACAGAAGGCGCGCTCATGAGCAGGAGGCCCACAGACGCAGATGCGGAAGGCACGGCCCCTGGCCGGCCGGCAGCGTGTGCGGGGGCCTGGAGACACGCTTTTACAGACGACAGCATGGCCAAACTAGATCCGGATGCTGACAGGATCCCTTCATGGCAGTTGAGTCGCTGCAAAATTAAAAGTGTTAGGAGACCCCGGGATCTCTCATCCCCCTCCCATCTGCCGGATACAGCAGCCTCTCCACACAGACGTCTGCTGAGCCCAGCAACAGGCCAACTCAGATGCCAAACACACCTGGATCTCAATTTGTTAATAATTCATCAATACAGTTTGTACTTATTACATAAGGAAATTACAATATGTTGAACCCAGTGGGTTAAACAATTATTCCATCATCATATGTATATAATTATTAAAATGAATTTCACCTAATTCTGACTTTTTTAACTTGGCTACTAGCAGATTTAAAAATCATACACACCAACACGCGTTTGCACCTCACGCTGTATTTCTTCAGACCACGCTCCTGTAGCAGCCGCCCTTCTTTGTAGCGGGTGATCAATTTCCAGGCAGGGAGACATGCCCCTCGGTGGTTGGAAGATGCAGACAGGTGGCTGGAAGGCCTAGCTCTGCCGTACAAGTCATGTGACATCAGCAAGTCACTCATCGCCCCGTCTCCTCATCCACAAGATGGATGATGCCTGTCTTAGAACTGAATTCTCTGCCTGAGTGCACCTGATGAATGACTATTAGAATATTATTGCTTCGTGTCTCTTAGAAGACTGTACAATGCACCCCACAAAGCTCCCTGAACCCCTTCTCATCAGAGCTTTACCCCAGCAGGAACTGCACAGTGCCCTAGGCTCTTGGGGTGCATTTCTTTCTTTTGTCAAGTCCAAAGATGGTTTGGTTCATCCATGAACCAGTGAGGCATGGAGTCACAGACCCCATAACAAAGAGATGCATTTCTGTGAACATTTCATTGCACCAGCATGCTGTCACACGATGCCTGCAAAGGTGGTGACACCAGAGGCGTGTAAGAGGAATCCTGTGTGCCAGGATAACACAGTATTTACAGAGATCCTCCCTTGGGTCCAGGCTTCCCTGGTGGTTCAGATGGTAAAGAATCTGCCTGCAATGCAGGAGACGCAGGTTCGATCCCTGCGTTGGAAGATGCCCTGGTAAAGGGCATGGCAACCCGCTCCAGTATTCTTGGCTGAAGAATCCCAGGGACAGAGGAGCCTGGCGCGTCGCATGGGGTCACAGAGAGTCGGACACGACTAAGCGACTAACACTTTCATTTCTCCTCATGTCCACGGTCTGAACTTGGCTATTAAGCCAAAAGCTGAAAACAAAATCTATACGTTCAATTGTATTCACTTAGATTTAGTTCCTTTCCCTGTTTCTCAGTAGTTTTTAGTTTTTTGTCCCTATTTTCAGTTCAGTTCAGCCGTTCAGTCATGTCCAACTCTTGTGACCCACAGCACACCAGGCCTCCCTGTCCATCACCAACTCCCAGAGTCCACCCAAACCCATGTCCACTGAGTCGGTGATGCCATCCAGCCATCTCATTCTCTGTCGTCCCCTTCTCCTCCTGCCCCCAACCCCTCTCAGCATCAGGGTCTTTTCCAATGAGTCAACTCTTTGCATGAGGTAGCCAAAGTACCAGAGTTTCAGCTTCAGCATCAGTCCTTCCAATGAACACCCAGGACTGATCTCCTTTAGGATGGACTGGTTGGATCTCCTTGCAGTCCAAGGGACTCTCAAGAGTCTTCTCCAACACCAAGTTCAAAAGCATCAATTTTTCAGCACTCAGCTTTCTTCACAGTCCAACTCTCACATCCATACATGACCACTGGAAAAACCATAGCCTTGACCAGACGCACCTTTGTTGGCAAAGTAATGTCTCTGCTTTTTAATATGCTATCTAGGTTGGTAATAACTTTCCTTCCAAGGAGTAAGCATCTTTTAATTTCATGGCTACAATCACCATCTGCAGTGATTTTGGAGCCCAGAAAAAGCTTATTTATCCCATTTTCCTTCTGTTGGTCTTGTTGCAGTGATCTGGTCTTTTTTAGCTGCCTTATTACACAGCTCACATCCTTTTAGAAGGAAACTACACTATAGACACTGCTTTACACCTAACATTCTTCCCATTATACTTACTATTAGGTCCACAAAAAGCCACATTACAGGACAAAATGTAGCGAAGCTTTAAGAAAATAATTATCTCTGACTCTACACATCTCAAGGCTGTAGACAAGCAGATATAAGTGATTTCCCTTCATTTATCTCATAAGCCTTCATCTGACTACAACAAGTGACGAAGCAGGTAATTCAGTGTTCCCCTCTCAAGACAAGGTCTAACCCTAACCCACAGCGCCTGTTGACAAGGCTTTAGCAGAACTCTGCCTTTAAGCAGAACCTGTTCAGATTTCCTGGCATGGAGACAGTTAAAGGTTGAGTTAGCCTTTTAAGGCTTAAAAAGAGAGGCCAGATATAAATGCCTTTAAGTGGTCAGGCTGGACAAAGGGCAGCCCATGAGCCCGCGCCGGGGCTGTGAACAGTGCCGTCAGGACACAGCGTGCCCGCTGTCTGCACACGGCCCTGGCAGCTCGGCACTACGCGAGCACAGGTCCGGGCTGCGGCGGAAGCGTCTGGCCCTCAGGGCTCAGAAAGCCTGGCCCTGCAGCAGGGGAAGCAGAGGGCGGGAAAGGGAGAGAGTGCACGGACACAGGCGCGAAACAGCCAGCCAGCAGCGGCTGCCGCATAGCGCAGGAGCTCAGTGGCTGCCCCGTGACGGCCTGGAGGAGGAGGGGAGGGGTGGGCGGAAGGTTCACGAGCGAGGGGGTATCTGTATACTTAGGTGTGTATGCTTACGCACATACGCATATATATGCATGCCGTTGCTGTATGGCAGAAACCTCTTTTCAACTCATGGGGAAGAGAAAGCACGAATCGAACTTGCTCCCACTCTGCTTTGCCTGCCTCATGGGTGTCTGAGCTACACTAACAGCCTAATAATTGAGTTTTCTGAAATTTCAAGGCCTATAAAATGTTCCTGTCAAACCTTTATGATTTCTAAAAATGAATGTGTCATTCCCTGTACTGACACTAGAGGGCAGTCGTGTTACACGGACAGAGGCCCAGCCTCGGCCCTCATAACACCTCAGTGAAATAAAAGGGACGAAGACGCAGGCGGAGGAGGCACTGCACCCCACTCCAGTCCTCTTGCCTGGAGAACCCCATGGACAGAGGAGCCTGGTGGGCTGCAGTCCATGGCGTCGTGAAGAGTCAGGCACAACTGAGCAACTTCACTTTCACCTTTCACTTTCACGCATTGGAGAAGAAAATGTCAACCCACTCCAGTGTTCTTGCCTGGAGAATCCCAGGGAGGGAGGAACCGGTGGGCTGCAGTCAGTAGGGTTGCACAGAGTCGGATATGACTGAAGCGACTTAGAAAGCACAGACAGACTTAAGCCTAAAGCGAGGGTGCCCTTTCTGTCTTGGGACTTCACTCGGGATCCACAGGCAAATCTCATCTATCTGCAAACCTTGAAGAAGAAGCCTGGTGCCATAAGCGTGAGTCAGTGTAACGTCCGGGTCACGTTCACACACAACCATCATTTAAGGTCCTCATTCTCCCAGCACGTTTAGATACACAAAGAAGAGGTCAGGACCCACTCTTAAATATCTTTTCTTCAAATCCCCAGGATGTGAAGCAACTGGTCCCCAGTGGAAAAGTGCAGTGGCAACAGGCAGAGTTCCTGGTGAAGGCACACTCACCAAAGGTCTCTGTGAAGAGACAGACACGGGAGAGGTGGCGCCAGGGGGCAGGGTCTAAGGTCCCAGAGGCCTTGCTCAGAGTGGTCCCCACAGCTCTGGGACAGGGGCAGAAAAGGAAATGTGCCAAAGTCAGCGGCCAGAATGGCAAGACTGACTCAGCACACACCTGGACCGCCCACACGTCACTCTGTCCACAGTGAGAACCTGGACACGTGAATGCCGGCCTTGTCACTTACTAACCAACCGAGAGATCTTCATCGAGGCCCGTGACCTTTGTGAGTCTGTATTTCCTCAAGCATAAAAGGAGGAATAATAATAACTAAAGTTGCAGAACTGTTGCCATAAGCCAGGTGCTATGCTAAGTGCTTTCCAGGTATTAAGACGTTCTTCCACAGACACTCCTAAGTGAGGAGGGTCTTCCCATGCCCCGGAAGCCTGGCTCCACAGCCCGTCCCTCCTACACACCTGCCCTGCCCACCTCTGGCTGTGAGATGCAAACTGGACGATCTGTGTCCACCTTTAGACAGCAGGGCACTACAGCCGAGACGACAGCCCCTGCAATTGTCATGATAAGAACCCAAGGTCTGTATCGGACGAGGACCATCACGTCCCCAAGGGGCACGCAATACTTCACAGTGAACACGCTGAGGAGGGCAGACAGTGAAAACAGTCCAGAAAGAGCAGAGCCGTTCTGACAACGGGCAGATAATGAAGGTATTGCATTTCTTCCAATACATCAGCTATGTTAGCCCCAAGAAGAATGACCAAACGCTCTTCTTTCCGTTTAGAAGGACCCGAGTCCCAGATTCAACAACAGGTCGCAGAACATCCTATTCTGCTGGTTCTCTCCTTTGCTTAGATATGTGTTTATCTACAAGGCTCCAGACAAGTCCCGAACACAGCCCTGGTGAAGGCTCCCCTGGGTCCTAAAGTCCTCCCATCGTCAGCACTGTGAGAGACCAGAAATCACGTTCCTACCCACACTCCAAGCTCTCCCAAGGAGATTTAAAGTGGCCCAGCTACTTGGTGACGTGATTTCCTGGGACCAGCGCTTTGCACTTGCGGTCTGGAGTCACAGTAGACCGAGGGTCTGAGGCGTTCAGGGCGGCCCTAACTGACAGAAGTTAGAGAAAAAGTCAGCTTGGCACTTCATCCACTTTGAAATGCAAAAGTGCATTTGTTACATTAATAATAGTTCTCATAACCGGCATTTCTGGAGCATCCACTACAGCCAGAAACTGTCCTAGGCGCCTTTCATGGACTGATTTTTCTTTAATTCTCAGAATTAGCTCTCTAGGAGATGGGATTATTGATTACTATCACTCTTTTTTAAGTGGGGACACTGAGGCACAGAACCAGTCAGGAACTAGCCCAACGCCATAAAGCTCGGAAGTGACGGTCAAGGTGTAAAGCCAGATATCTGAATTACAGAGCCCACACTCCCAAGGGCCCACTCTCAGAGGACTCGATTTAGAGGCAGAATGGCCCCCAAATCTCTTGTTCAGGGACTTGATGGATTTAGGAAACTGTTACCTGAGTATGTTTAGGCATAGACATGGGGATGTGAGCCAACCCAAAACCAAGGCCCCAGCTGGTGCCAGCTGCATGCTTTGGAAAGTTAGCCTCGATTCTTTAAAGACTAATCTGTAACTCTGAGTTTGCCCTAAGTAATGTCCCCTCAGTGAAAATGTAACTAAAGCACAGAAAAAGAAAGACGGGTGAAACCAGGAAGGGAGGGGTGAGGGCTGGAAAAATGCAGAAAGGAAATAGAAAAGGGCAGGTTTCAGAGTCCTGAACAAATCTGATTTTAACAAGTCAGATTTAAGTCTTAACTCCAAGACTAAAATGTAATCATTTGCACAAGGAAGACCAGCTGAGGGTCACATAGAGCTGCCAGGGATGATTTGCCCTACCTGACCACTTGCCCACACACAGGTGACTGGTGTCCCCAGAAAGCAAACCCACGGATCCCCTTCCAGGCCAAGCAAGGGTCCAGGGGCACCATGCAAGCTGCAGGTGAGGATAACACGCCCCCTTGGGACACAGGACACTGCACAAATACAAGCTGGTCTCCATCTTCCTATTTTTAAACTCAAAACAGGATTTATCAACAGATTTTTTGAAAGCACAAGTCACCAGATATGATCATGTATTTTTGGTAAATTGTGTCAATAGTACAAGCTGCTGATCCAGGAACTGCAATTTGTCAACAAAATGGGAGGAGAAATTGTCAGGATCTCCTTCAAATACATGGATAATTAGGTAAATTGTAATAATGTCATTTTATTAGCCTTCAAACATTCTATTCCTGCCATGGATACGGGAGACAAACCCTCAGTAAAGTCTGTTTTCCTTTTCTTTCTTCGAGACATCCATCGATGAATCCAGACTTTACTATTTATTAAAATCTTCTTCCCTGGGTCCCACTCAACTCTAGCCAGATTTTCTTTCCTTTTCTGATCACAAAGGCTTCCTTTTCCAATCACAAAAATTCATCAACTTGTGAAAACATCTTGACAGGCCCACCAATTACCATTTTAGAAAGGCAGCGTTTGAGCTATCTCCAAATGCATTCATATTTTTTAAAATCGTTTTAAATGAGAAAGTGATCACCAGGAGCAATGAAATGGATAATTAGAAAGCAATGATGTTTTGGGGCTGCAATTATAGCCATGATTGACTATGTAAGCCTCCAGCAGAATTAGAAAACGATCATTTCTTCGCTAGATTTCCCTCAACCAAGTTTTTCAGATCCACGGTGGGAGTGTGGGCCCCCTCCCCTGACTAGTCTCCCCAGGGACTTCAGGGGGCCTTCCTGAGCCCTGGCCCTGAAGCACTCAGAGTGTTTACTGGAGGCTCAGGCTATTCACGCTCTTCACCTGAACTGGCTTTCAGCCCCCAGGAGGCTGCTTCTGCGCTTGGACTGGCCGTCGCATCCAGTGGATTCACGTGGGGCAGCCTGGACTGCGGCCGCTCTCACACAGGCACGACTGTGTCACCTCGGTCTACCCAGCTGGGCTACGTGCTTGGAGTGACTTTTCCAAGTAGGAATGTGCAGGTTTATTTATTTTGGGATATGGGTTTCTGGAGGGTCTGGGTGTTTGAAGGAGAAGCTTTCAGAATAAAATTTCAGTTATTCCCTGTGCAACATGAATAGCTGAAAAGTTGGATTTGTCTTCCTGTTGCTCTGACTTTTTAGTTAAAAAAAAAGAAAAGGAAACTACTCCTGAGCTAGAAATGGACAGGCCCCATTTTATAGCAATGCATTGTGGCTGGGCCGCAACAGCAATTTTTAAAGTATTTATTTAAGAAAGTAACATTTCAAGACATGTATTCTTCTCTCAAAGAATACAGACATGATTTACAGACTATTTAACTCTTCCATAAAGGTGGTCTTCAAAAATCAATGCTGGTCATTATTATCACATGATAAGCAGAGGTAATCAAAGAGCCATACTTTACAGTGTGATCCAATTCAGACCACCTGCTCGATAACACTTCCCACCTCATCCTGCCTTCATCCTTACCTGGGAGACCGGGAGCTCCTGGCAAACCTTTGGGACCTCTTCCTGGGGGACCACGATCCCCTCTTTCTCCTGCATCACCTGTGTGTCATTAAAGAAATGTTACTTTTCTATATGTCTATAAAAATGAACATAAAGCATAAACATAAATTCAACTTAAAGCAAAGCCCATATACAGAAACCAAAAGGTTATGACGTTGCCATATACGAGGTCTTAATAAGTACATAGTAAGGCAAAAATCGAGTTAATTATAATAAGATATCTAAGGGGAAAAAAATCAAATGACTGTATCGGTAGATGCTGACAAGCCATTGATACAACATTCAATAAAGTAAGTACCAAGCTACTTCCCTAACATGATAAAGTCCATCTATCTCAACCTTGAAGCTGACATAAAGCTTAACAAGAAACACAAGGAGCAGTTTCACTAAAGTCAGAACATTATTAATACAAACATGCCCACTTTATCATTCTTATTATTTGGTTTGAGCCATCCCTGCCTGCTTTCAGGTGACATGACTATTTTTCTTAAACCCTAGAAAATCAACTCAAAATCTACTATAGACAATAAGAGAATTCAGTACGTAGTGAGGTACAAAATACATGGAAATCAATATTTGTTATATATATAAACAACAGCCAGTTATATGATGCAGTGAACAAAAATCTCATTTGTAATGATGACTAAATCATCAATAACTAGGAAAAGAAGTTTAATCAGAAATATGCAAATCCAATAGGAAAGAAAATTGAGGGAACTTCCCTGGGGGTGCAGTGGATAAGAACCCATCTGCCACTGCAGGAGACACGGGTTCCATCCCTAGTCCAGGAAGAGTCCACACGCCACAGAGCAAGCAAGCCCGAACACCTTGACTACTGAGCCCACGCCCCAGAGCCCAGAGCTGCAAGGACTGAAGCCCTCCCACCCACCGTGCTCCATAGCACTAGAAGCCCATCCGCCACAACGAACAGCGGCCCCCGCTCACCACCAGAGAAAACCCTGTGCAAAGCGGCGAAGACCCGCTGCAGACAAAAACAAAAATAACTACTTTTCAAAAAGAAAGAAAGAAAATTGAATGGAGGCTTAAAAGCAATCTAAATATCCATTAAAGAGATATATACACTATGGAACTCCCAAAGAGTGGAATATCATGCATGGGTAAAGAAGAGTTAGGAAGGTCTGTGAAATGATGCCCAAGACATCGTTAAATGAAAAAAGCAAGGCCCAGATGACTTACTAAAGGACAATGTGATTCGTTGCTAAAATGACATAGGGAAAATATATATATATTCATAGGTCCTTTATAGTGTCACTGGTAAGGGCATGTAGGAAACTAAAAACAGAGATTCCCTAATGGAAGGATAAAGGGAACCAGGCAGATGGGAGCCAGGGCTGAGACAGACACTCTTCACTAAGTACTTTTTTATACATTTAAAAACGCTTGAACCATGTAAATTTAGCATCACCAAAAATAAATTAATGAAGTTTCAAAATGTAAAGTGTGCTGTCACAGTGCCTACATTTCATTTCTGTCTCATTATTTATAGGGAATGTACTTTGGATTGCAACCAACCATGTGCATTTGCAAGACAGTTGATTGAATTCAGGAATTCAGCAGCCACAGAACAAACCCTGCATTCATTATCCTGGCCCCTGCAGAAGCCAAACTTAGAAACTTGGCCTCATTAGCAAAACACCCTAACACTTAGTTAACAGGTGTTAAAAGACATGACTACTCCTAGTAGAAGACAACCTCTACTGCCCCATCAGCAAAGTAGCATGCTACTACTATGCTACATCCTTAGAAGATGCAACGGCATTTCACAATAAGTTCTATACGTGATCTTTTTATCCAAATATTTGTATCAATCCAACCTCATTAAATATCAATAGGTTTGTTACAATTTAAAAAACAAAATCGCACAGAACAAAAACAGGAAGAATATCTGTACAACCATCTGTGCATTTGTCAAATAGTCAAAAATCTCTATTTAAGAATGTTTAGTGATCATACTTTGACTTTAGCTGTGAATGTCCTTGTGTAAACATTTATATGATGAATCAACATTTTGAAGATAATTTAAATTTTATAAATATTATGTAAGGAAATACATAATATTCAAGTTCAGCTTGAACTCATATATAAACTAGTTTTTTTTTACACTCATCATCAATATGACATTACTGGAGTAGGAAGATATGACAATTATCATTTAAAAACTAACAGCTTAAGCTCTCTTGTTAACTTGGCAATTTAAATGTCATTTCACTATAATTGTCAAGGCTGACAGTGAGAAAGTGCCACATTTTCTGAAAACATGAGAGGATTATAAATTAAAATGCAACTTTCGCAGCGATAGTGACAGTTAAGCATATTCTAGCATGAAGCCACACCAACTTCAAAATGTTTGCAAGGAATAAGACCGCTGCCTCTTTAAAGGAACTTATATATATGTGTGTATATATATACACACATACATATATGTGTGTGTGTGTGTTAACCAAGTCATAGGAAAAGATGAATATAACGGGTGAAGTGATGTGAAATTTCCGGAGAGATATGAAAACCCTTAACAAAAAATCATAATTCTAGAACTGAAAAATACAAGATCTGAAAGTAAAAATTCATTGGATGGGATTGCCAGCATATTTGGACACTGCAGAATGAAGGGAACACAGCGTGGTAACATTAAAACAACACTGTATGATATGTAGAATAGCAGTTTTTACAAATTAAAGAAAAGACCCTTGTCTTCGCTTCGATGCTGTTTCTGGTGGTCAGTCATGGAGAAAGACGCTTTCGACAGGCCCGGGACACGGCCCCACTGCAGCCTGCAGTGGCCACCGTGTGCAGGCTCTGCTACCTGCAGGGTTAGTCTGCTTCAGCAAACACTGGTCACATCTCCCCCCAAGACGTAGGAGACCTGGCCTGGGGGCTCAAGCCCACCTTTGTTAGCCCGCTGTGTCAGAAAGGACATGTAAAAAGCTGAGAAAAGATGCTTTGGGTAAAGTGTGAAGGGGATAGACACTTTGAGCAGAAAAACAGCTTCCTATGATCAGAGTGGGTGAAACTGGAGAAATTCATGTGGCTCCAAAACTGCTACTGAATTTATCTATTTGGAAGCTATAATCGACGCTCCATCTTCAAGCGAGGATGAACACTGGAAAAGGTGAGTCTCAGGTGGGCTAGGAGTACTTTCCCTAGCTTTCACTAACATGGAGACATGTCTGCTTGACGCCCACTAAAAGATTTAAAAATACACACAGCCTGTCTCAAAGGGGCTTAAAATTAACAAACCACAAACATTTATAAAGAGTATTTATGACAAGAAAGACTTACTTAATTCTGGGCAGAGTGAATCCAGGGCCAGTCAGGGGTCACCTTTCATGAAATGAGCACACAGCTCTAACATGTTTGTGTAAAAGTGTGTAAAACATGTCAGCAAAAACAAACAAACAAAATAAGGGAACACAATGGAAGCTCTGAGTATGGTCTGAGGCTTATTTCTACTAGCTCCTATTAAAAATGTTCCACTGTGTTTTTCAAAGTAACTTTTAAGGAAGAAAACCATAATTTGATTAAGACACAGCCTGAACTGTTAAAAGCTTAGTAAAACTGATTCATTAATAGCTAACCTTGTCTACAGAGGAATTTCTCTGGAAAACACCCTCAAAGTGACTCTATGGCAAACCCAGACTCCCACCGTCCCTTCTCTTATTAAGGATGAAGAAAACGGCAATGAAACACATCTCTTTGATCAGTAGAACAGTTAAGTTTCAAATGGTGGAGTGTTTATTCTCAAGGAAAATTTGAGCTCTAAACTTTGGGCATTAGAACACCACCCGTTTTCTGCTAAGTAGGACTATTTATAGGTCTGTGGAGGACAAAAAAGGTCAAGTCCAGCTACCTAGAACCATACATCTTCAAATGTCTGTCAACACTGAATTATATAGAAAATTTGACTATTCCTTTCTGCCCACATCCCAATCTTAAGAAGTAAAACTCAGAGATGATGCTGCTTTAATGGAACCAATGCCAAGAAAGGCATGAAGGAGATCAGGGAGAGAAAGTTCTCTAGAAAAAAGAAAAGAACAGCCTCACTTCTAGATTGTAAGTTATGTCATGAATCCTGCAGGAAACGGGGAAGTCCCAAATACGATCAAACTCTTCTTGATGGATGAACTCAGTGCCAGAGACACTTCTGGGGTTTCAAATATAGAAGTATAGTTTTCTTCACCCCAAAATGAGGTTCCCTTGCTGGAGCCCACCCAGCCCCACCCAGACACAACTCTGCACTGCGACTCCCAGCTTTGCTGGAAGCTTCCAGGTCATGCCACCTGTGTCAGGAGTGCTCCCCAGTCCTTGGCGCACATTCAGATCACCTGCAGAATATTTTTAAAGTCTGATACCAAGTAATCAGGTGGCGCTAGTGGTAAAGAACCTGCCTGCCAATGCAGGAGATGGAGGAAACGTGAGTTCAGTGTCTGGGTCAGGAAGACCCCCTGAAGGAGAGCATAACAACCCACTCCAGGATTCTTGCCTGGAGCATCCCATGGACAGAGGAGCCCAGTGGGCTTACAGTCCACAGTGTCGCACAGAGTCAGACACGACTGAAGTGACTTAGCACCAAGTAACCAAGCCAAGTAGATCGCAGTATCTGGGAAGGGGCTGCAGACACGGGCAGGGTTGACGGCTCCTCGGGTAAGTCCTGTGGACAGCCTGGACTGTCTCCCACTGGGCAGGCTGTCCTGACTCAATGAGCACAGACCTCTTCCTTCCTTAGACAGAAGACGGGACTTCAGGAGCCGGCTCCTACGAACTCAAGGTTAAGCTCAGCCCCAAAGACGGAGGCTTCCTTAGAGCCGGAGAAAACAGGCCTGCGATCCCCATCACCCTACAAGGCGGTCCTTCCCAGGGAAGACAGGCAACCGCCCGGCACGAGCACATCTCTGCTGGCGGCAACTCTCCAAGGTCTCTGACTCAGGGAGCCTGGGTGTGCGGGAGGATCTGCCTTCTGAGCAAGGTCTCTGATGATGCTGAGGCCGCGGGGACCACTCTTGTGAATCACCGCTCTTTGGTTCCCTCTAGTGACCACACGCAGGCAGAGGCGTCACCGCGGCCGGGGCACAACAGAGACAGCTAGGCCAACAGTCCACCGCAGTATGGGCTTCCCTAGCACGGTTTACTTGTGTGGGTGAGTGCAGTGTGATCACAGGGAGCGCCTCCGGTACAAATCCCTAAACAGAAGCTCAGAGCAGGACTGACATGATTGGCTAAGGGATCCTTTCAGAAAAGAGGTCCAGCTCTGTAAGCTGACCTCAAAGCTCTCTCCATAGGTGACTCTGTCCAGCCTCCAAAAACATGGCAACTCTGCCAAGTTCACAAGAGGCTCCAATTAGGGCTCTTTTTTTTTTTTAACATGTAGCTCTTCATATGCCAAAAAAAAAAAAAGTAATGAACAACACTGCTCCAACTGAGGGTGTTGTGAACTAAATGCATCTCCCATTCAATTACAGATCCAGAAAGACAGCTTGCTTGACCTCTGACCATTTGCACCATATTTATCCCTAATTGGAGCATCACTGTCTAAAAAACAGAAGTCCCTCTCTTGTTTTGGGGTTTTTTTTTAATTTATTTTTTTATTGAAGGATAATTGCTTTACAGAATTTTGTTGTTTTCTGTCAAATGGAAACTTACATTACCATATGTAAAATAGATAGCTAATGGCAATTTGCTATATGGCTCAGAAACCTCTCTTGTTTTTGACACCACGTCTTTCTGAAGTTCCCAGAAAGCTGTCAGTCACTCATCCTGATACAGAAACTCCACACTTTTCATCCTTTCTGTAAATTATCCAGGACACACTGCCCGCAGGCTGACCTACTCATCTGAACTAGCAAGCACCATCTGAGGCAGCCAATTCTTCTGCAAATTCTGCAGAATACCTAACACACTCACAATCCTATTTTCCTACAAGACACTGGTTTCAAGAGCTTAACTTGCTCTAAATAAAAGGAGAAGAAACAAACTCTCTCACACCCTCTCAACACATTAAATAAGGAATACAGTTGTACTTCAGAGCTGAAAAAAAAATCCATCAAAACTGATATACAATGCCACTCTTTAAAAGAAGAGGGGGATTTCCCTGGTAGTCTAGTGGTTAAGACTCTGTGCTCCCAATGCAGGGGGCATAGGTGTGATCCCTGGTCAGGGAACTAAGACCCCATATGCATATTTTAGGCAAAGCCAAAAATAAATAAAAGAAGAGGGAGGCAGCTTTAACTTGCGATGAGATTTTTCTGATGTCCTGCTAACAAGTCTCGTTAGTTGAAGTAATAGATACAAACACTCTTGAGACAGCTGCCATCTTAGAAGAACTCTACGATGATTTCAGGGTCTCAAAAAACAACAAACAAAAAACCTCAACGATACTGAACTTTATCTTGAACTACGGCTAAAGCAGCATGACTCGAAAGATCAGACTAAAAGTCGAGGAACCTGGATTCTGGTATTGGGTCTACTGCCATCACACACCAAAGTCAAGAAAATACCAGATGACAGCTCTTTAATCTTCACCATCCCCATAGAAAGAATGGTAATCTCACATCACAGACACCTGGCACTTGCCAGGACCAGTGAATCCACCGAAACAAAAAGCCAGCGTGTGTGTTCCTGGTTCCACGTGGGCAAAAGGCCTTACCTTTAGGGCCCCTCACACCGAGAGCGCCGGGGGGGCCCTTCATGCCTGGGAGACCGCGGAGTCCCATCTGGCCCGGAAAGCCATTCTCTCCAGGGGGGCCCGGGGGGCCGGGGGGTCCAGGCAGCCCAGGGAGGCCCGAGGCTCCGGAGTCTGGACGCTTGAGACTCGCAGCCATCTGAGCAAAGTGCTCTACAAGGTAGTAAACAAAACCAGCCAGGGAAGTCAGAAACAGGAAGGCGATTCAAGGGAAACTCGAACTATTTCAAGTGCCTTTTTTTCTAAATGCGTCACCAGAGCTTCATAACTGGGGGCGAGGAATGAGTAAAGCTCAGTTGGTTTTCCCCGGGCTTGCTACCCCAAGGCATCACTGATGCCACTGTGTTCAGCCCTCTGCGGGGAGAGCTGGTCCTGCTGCCTTGAGGCAGGGGAGGGGATAGAGACCCTTAACCTTTAGGACTGAGCCGTGTCCAAAAGGATGTGTGTCACCTGAACCTGGCTGGTTATCTGAAAACCCAGGATGGGAAGGAAGTAAGCTGCTCAGCACAGCTGGAAGTGGTTGTCCTGAAGCTGTGTCAAAGCCAAGGACATCGCTCAGAACTAGCACTGAGACACCGTTTGAGACCTGGGCTCACGTGCTTAGCTTGAACACACTGCTCTACGTGAAATACCCTGAGGATTCATGACTTGCTAATAAATCTCCTTCTCAAGTTTTTTTCATGCATGGAAGATACACCAGACATTAGAGAGAGCCTGCTTCTTTGGAATGGTCACAATCTGTCTTAAAAATTTATAACTGTGTAGGCTTTTTCAGGAACCATTAAATAGATAAGAATCATCTACCAAAACCAGAGAATAAGAACATTTTCCCATTAAAATACTCTAAGGGAAATATTCTACTGCAATATTTTTCAAAGCTTTGGGTGTGAAGGAGAAAATGAAATGGAAACATATTTCTCACCAAAACTTCTAAATCATTTAAATGTGAATACCCTAAGTGGGCCTTATTTAAGTGAGGGTTAGCATAAAGTCATACTTTTCTCAACATGAAATGCTTAAAATGGAAATATCCTTTCAAAATAAGATGTCTTCAATATTGGTTTCCAAATATAGAGGTGACAATTTCATCCTGGAAAACTCTACACATCTACTTGACAAGATAGACTATCTCATGAACACATAAAAGGGAAGTGTTTCTTCATGACAGAATTGGTTCCAACTAGAATCAGACAATAAATAGGAATTGCCATAACTACAGACAAATTTAGATAAAGGTTAAGAAATGTGAAAATATATATCACCATTTTGGCAAAATTCCAGTTATAGATTTTCTACCTATGTGGTGCATGAATGGAAATAATGGCCTTAAGCTTGTTATGGGCAGAAGTCTACCAATTGTTTATCACATAATCTGCAGAGAGAGCCTAGGTCAATGCCAGGGACACACCAAGGCTAGGACATTAAGAAGGGGAAGAGTCTGAGAATTTGTTTTCCAAAGGAGGGGAAAAAGTGCATGTGTGTGTGTGTATGTCTGTGTGCGTGTGTGTAGGCTGACCCAGAAATGTACTATTTTTCCTTGAGGCTATAAGCAAATGTCAACAAACTGTACAGAACAGAAGTGAAATTAATACTATTCAAAATCCCCCACCCTTTAAAGCCTACAAAAAGTCAAGCCATGACGACTTATTTACCTTGTATGACTCTCATGCAAACCTGCTTGATGTGCTGATCAGTCGGCGCTCTGCCCTGGGACGGAAAAGACAAAAGCCAGTTTGTCCACGAGCGAAGCCCACAAAGAGGGCATTGTTGAATGGTAAACCGGCAGGCTGGGCAAGGGACCAGTGGCTGGATTTACAGAACTGGCCCCACGCTCGCAGCGGAGCTGAGGTCAGGTCCCTCCCAAGCGCCACCGCAGCCCGCAGCCCACAGCCCACAGCCCGCAGCCCCCGGCCCCCGGCCCCCAGCCCCCAGGCGGCGCCTCCAGAGGAAAACCCCCGGAGCCGACCGCACTCACCCCGCACTCACCGGGGGGCCCTGGATCCCCGGTAGGCCAGTGGCGCCCTGCTCCCCCTGCACGCCGCGCGGGCCCGGCGGGCCTCGGGGTCCTTCCTCTCCGGGAAGCCCCCGGCTGCCTTCGGGCCCCCTCAGGCCAGGCTCCCCAGGGTTCCCCGCCTGGAACACAGGGGCACACGTTAAGTCCAAGCTGAACACAAGGGGGGTGCCTGCTTCAGATTGATATAAGCACTGACACTCTGCCTCCCAAGTTAAAAATCTAACAAGCACCAATAGGCGTTCGCTCAGAGGTTACAAAGCCTCAAGGTGAACACAGGTAATGCCACACCATTAACTCTCCAGTCTCTCAGAATTCCAATGCAAGTAAACATTGTAAAGATCCTTCTTTGGGGCCTAGATATTATTTTGAAATGTTAATGGAAATAACATTTTAAAATCACATTCTTCATACTTTAAGCCATTTCTAAGAGCAAGTTTGTTTTTAATAAAACGTGTTAACTCTTTTGGGCCACAGAAAGTCTACTGAGTTCACAAGACATGTTACACTGTGTATCACCAATACAGAAAGCATAAAATAAAGATATTTCCAAGAACATAAGTTATTTAGCCTTTATAACGTTCTTTCGAGAATCTGAGGAAGCCAGATGTATCCAGGAATTATAAAACACTAACATGAATTGAATCAACCCATTTAAAATGTTGCATTTAAGATACCAGAACAAAAAGAGTGAGCCCATAATTTATCTAAGGATACAGGAAGTTAAAAATCTAAGTAATAAGGATGTTTTAAAAAAATCAATTATTTCCTTAAAATGAAACCATATACCAGTTAGATTTTTCTTCTGAAAGCAGACCACTAAAAGCATCTTTATAGTCTTCATCTACAAAAACTGTTTTAAAGAGAAACTAAATTAATCCATTTTTTTGTTAAGCTACCTCCAGTGGAATTTGACAAAGTAGTTACAGTGACTGTTGTTTACAGAATAAAAATGAGAAGATAAAAGTGAAAGAGTATGGGGGAATGCCACTGCTCTAGATCTGATATTCATAAAGCTGCTCCGTCCGGCTTCCTTTTCATACCAACGTTTCTCTAGGAAAAGTCAACTCATTCAACATTCAGATGTTTTAAACTGAAGGAAAATGGTAATGAAGCAATGCTTCCACCAGACACATCTTAAGAAAGCTCAGGGATGCTTTTTCCAACCTCTCTTTGCACAAAAAGAAAAAAAAAGATATTCATCTAAGTGAACTTGTCAAAATTGCTTCTTGAAGAAATTATGGCTTAAAAAAATTTCCTGAGAGTCAGGCTCAAGGGAGAAAGCTAAGGATGTGCTGTGAAACTAAAGTTGGGTATTGTCAGGTCACTAGAATGCAAGATAGAGCAATTTCTAAAAAAGCCCAGTATGTGTGTGCGCTCAGTCATGTCCAACTTTTTGTGACCCTTGGCACTATAGCTTGCCAGACCCTTGTCTATGGAATTTTCCAGGCAAGAATACTGGAGTGGGTTGCCATCCCCCATCGAGGGACTCTTCCCAACCCAGGGATTGAATCCACATCTCTTACGTTCCTGCATTGGCAGGCATGCTCTTTACCACTAGTGCCACCTGAGAAGCCCAGATGGTACACTTTAATTTCATCAGTATTCCTTGGGTAGTGACAGAAAAGATGGGATGGGAAGGGAAGTGATCAATCAAGAGCTAATTCCTAGTACTGCATCCAAATTTAAATGAAATTAACTCATTTTGACATCTGCATTGTTCATCCACCTTTTTCTTTTATAACTTGAATTATCACCTTTGAACATTACTGATTATTTCTAGACAGTGAGGTAGGATTTCCATTATCAGATTCTGTCCAGGCTTACCCTTTACAGTGTTTCTCAATCCTAAACCATTCTAAGGCATAAAAATGTTCTTTGAAGTTTGACTGTCGCATGGTGTTTAGAGGTTGTATATACACAGGTGTGTACATTTGTGTGTGTGTGTTAATCATTCAGTCATGCCGACTCTTTGAAACCCCATGAACTGTAGCCCACCAGGCTCCTCTGTCCATGGAATTCTCCAGGCAAGACTACTGGAGTGGGTAGCCATTCCCTTCTCCAGGGGATCTTCCTGACTCAGGGATCGAACCCAGGTCTCTTGTATTGCAGGAGGATTCTTTACCATCTGAACCACCAGTGAAGTCCAGTATGAACACAGGAAAGATGACATAGAACTTTCCATATCGAGGTTGCGTGAAAATCCCTAGACAGGGCACTGTAACCAAGGCTGGGAGTGTCCTCCCGGAGAAGGTTGGGCTAAATGCTTAGGTAGGAGGTACTAATCTAAGGAAAGAGAAAGAAAGAGAAAGAGTGCCCCAAACTAGAAAAGCACATGTTGTTAAACAGCATATGCCAAGTAAAAAGAACCACAAACAGATAATGTCCAGAGAGGTCAGAGATGAGGCTGGTGAGGCTGCAACCGCTTTACTGAAGGCTTTGTATTCTTCGCCAAGAGTCTGATTTTATTCTACAAATGTTATTCTTGAAGGGTTTTAAGCACAGGAGGGACAGATATGTAAGCTTTATCTTTTAATCTAGATGTCACTGACCGTCATCTGTTGGACAGAAGAATGGCAGGGATTCCAGACAAAGGAAGGTCTTGGAGATTAACAGAAGCTCCTGATAGATGCCCTTGACACTGAAGTCTAAGCTTCATCCTTTCTCCTTGCATTATCTTAAATTTGTTATTGCATGAAGATGTATATACCTTTCAAATTAGCAAGTCATTCTAGGTATGCTACTAATTGATTATATAACTCTGAATACATCTAATTTCTATGGACATCAGATTAGTTTCTGAAAAGTGAGAAACTGAATGAAATGATCATTTTCTAGCCCTAATAATTATCCATATTTTCTTGTGTACCATGCCTATATCTTACTTCTCCAACTAGAACACATAGGAGATTATGAAAATTATTGAAATATTTGCAATGATATGACTGACAATGAAATTCAGTTAAGTTCTTGTCACTGCAAAGCACAATCAGTTCTTGTCAAACAATCCATTTGTGGAAGAAATTACAATATATACTCAGTGAGCCATTTATAATATGAAAAAAAATAAAAAATACTTCCTTTAGAGTGGTTAGGTCAAAAGGCAGATCCATTTACACTGTTATGAGTTTTTTTCTCCTTTGGACTAATCCACTACTTAAAGCATAAATTTAGACATTAACTTCCTTAAAGGTAAGTCCTTTTAGAATTGAATTTTACAGAATGATTTCATAAAGCAAAGCATTCTGTTTTTATAGCTTTATTGATATTTTATTTTTATACCATTACTATTCATTATACTTACAGATCCCTTTGGGCCAGGTAATCCTATATCTCCCTAAATCAATAAAATGAAACCATATTAGAACAACGTATTCACATTTGATAGTTTACTAAAAAACACTGAAAAGGTTATCATGCTGCCAAAGTCAATAGAAAACCATGAACAGAAGAACCCTGATACTGCAGGAAAAAAATCTGAGTCAAAATTTGGATTCTGGTCCCAGTTCTGCTATTTAACTTCGTGACCCTGTGTAAACTTTGTAAGCCCCCAGCCTTTTGCTAACTCGTCTGTTAAATAGTAGGGTGAAATCAGGGCTCTCCAAGGTTCCATCCAGACCTAAAATGCTAAGTGTCGAGAATTAAAACATGTAAGTCAAAAGATATTAAACTAGCATGCTGTTATAAAACATAATAGACATTTAAATCAGATTACTTCATTTTTGAAACTCTAGCAGTATTCTTAAAAATCCCTCAAAGTCTATCAAATCAAATATGCATGCTTTAAAAAAAAAAAACTTGCATATCTCCTACCACTAGCTCTAGGTATGAATTCAGCTCATGTTAGCACATTGGTGCATGTTCATTACAAAACAGGATGATTTTTTAAACATTGTCTTAGCTTATAAAATGAACAGTTTCAGTGGAATATAAAATTGAAATCATCCTTTTCTAGTTTATCTAATAGTTTAGGCAGCTTTGTCTAATTCAGATGTTACATTTATATTAACTCTAAATCCTAAAAAACCTGAATAAAATATTATTCAGCATTTTCTCCTGAACTAAAAATCCTCTGAAACTATTTTCTGAGAATTCTGTCATTACCACAGCAAAGGACCAAATGTAAGGTCCCACACTAGGTAGGTTCTGTTTGATTCCATCATAATGGGAAGGAAGAGCCAGCAGACAGAAGTGCTAGAGGCAGTGATGATTTGTTTACCTTCTCCCCGCCTTCCTGGAGCTTCAGCAGAAGCCTCCTCTGGACATGGTTTTAGACTCCAAAAGACCATGGAAAACACCCACAGTCAGGCTTTGGAGTCACAACTTTCTATCTACAATAAACTATTAATACAAACCACAATAAAGTTTTAGCTTTGTTTCCATGATAGGCACTATTCACAGATTTTCTGCAGTCATATAAGAATCACCTGGAATTTCTAGATGGAAAAAAATGAGCAAACGTGCCCTCTAAAGGGAACATTTTGTCCTCCCAGTGCTCTAGGCCAGATCTACCAACGCCGGGGTATTTCCCCTGCATTTTGCTTGACCTTGGCTCAGTTCTGGGGGGTGGTTTGCGAGCTTACGTAAGAAACATCTTAACCCCGAAAGAAGTCAGCAAGGATAGCAGGGCCAGGGAAAAGAAGAAGGAAATACATCTGATACAATTCAAAATAGTGAAGCTCCACCAATATCCAGGAAAAACGTCTTACGAGTTCACCCCTTTCTCCAGCTTCACCCTCTTCACCAGAGGCGCCCTAAAAATTAAAAGTCACATTTTAAAAGTTCTTAGTCCCTTGGTTCAAATTTACCCAGTCAACACTGATAAAAATTCAGAAGTTCCCACAATGCTCCCAAGGTCACACAGAAATACGACACATTCTTAAGGGTTTTCCAACCTAGCTGTCAGGGGCTAGTCCAACCCAGGACCAGAGAAAAGCCAGAAGTTGAGTTTCAGCTAAATTTAAGGATGAATGACTGTGTCAGCAACTAGATAATTAGGTTAAGACTTAAGAAGGGCTGTTATAGGTGGGGAAAAAAAAACCTCAGGACAAAAACTAACTCTAATTCACATGCATTGTATTTACTAAGTTCTTAGTGAAGAAAAACTAGAACACTGTGATGAGGCTATGGAGGCTCCATCACTGGAGTAAACCCATCTGGTGAACGAGAGAGAGGGCCCCTCTTTTCAAAGGAAGGACAGTGTGCATTCTGGAAGGCAGGGCCAGAATTAACTTGGATTATTAAAACAGTAGATAAGGTTACAAACCTAATTAGACCCTGGGTCTCACTCACTATACAGGGCGCTCAGGGCCATTGCACTGGGACGACCCTGAGGGTTGGGATGGGGAGGGAGGTGGGAGGGGGGTTCCGGATGGGGGACACATGTACACCCATGGCTGATTCATGTCAATGTATGGCAAAGACTACTACAGTATTGTAAAGTAATCAGCCTCCAATTAAAATAAATTAATTAATTTCAATAAATAAAGCCCTTGGAGCCTCCACATTCTACCCACGCCGGCAGATCAGCCCATGCCCCCTGCTGGTGAAACACATTAGCACACATTAAACACACGTTTCACAGGATTCCGACGCCGGAACCTACCTGTTCACCCTTTGGACCGGGTTCACCAACTACACCCTGCAATGAATAAAACACGCTTTTTCAGTATTTTGAGGTTTTTAACTATACAATCTCAAGTGAACCAACTCCCGTACTGGGCTGGTGAACAGGAACAAGGATGAATAATCTCCATCTCCTCACTCTCTAGGCAGAGTTGCATCAGACCTGGAGAAACTGACAACCATCCAAAATCACTGGCGACCTGAACTGCCCTCTGACCACATCCATGTAAAATGTGACTAGTAAGAGCAGAAATTGAGAACTGAATAGGAAGTGTGATTACAGCTGAAATTTTTCCTTTACTCGGCTTTTATTTTTTCCCTTCTGATAAATGATTAATAGATTTTTTTGCTTCTTAATCTCAACTCTCTGTAATTTTAGAAATCTTTCTTGACAGTTCTCTATGGCAACGCCTAGAAAAATTCTCCCTTGGGCCAAAAGCAAGCTTGGTTTCTCAACATAGTAGAAATCACCCTTCCAAATAGGGAACTTTCCAGAGGGCTGGGTATCTTACCCTGTCACCTTTCATCCCAGGAAGTCCAGGGGGGCCAGGCAAGCCAGGAAGGCCAGGGCTGCCAAGAGAACCCTGAAATAAAACACATCCCCAGACCTGCTGTTACTGCGACGCTGACAGCACACACACCAGACGTAACTCACGCCTATAATAAAAGTGCTGCGGTTAGTTTAAGGCTGCTGCTCAGACTTCCCACTCTCCCAGGAGAAGACAGTCAGTCCTTCCTCCATCCCGCTTCTGAGCTCCCCGATTCCCAGGCTTGCACACCTTTCCAACAAGGAAGGGCTCTTTGAGCTGAGTCCCTGCCTCCCCAGCTGTGTAAACATCACCGCTGGAGAAATGAAAGGCAGTTTTCACACACAGTTCTCTCCCAGTCCAAGAACAACCACGGCCAAATGGAGCACTTCCTATCTCCCCCAGTTTTAAAATAAATGCTACAAACCACACTGATTAAAATACCCTCTGAGGGTCTCCTAGATTTAATTTGAATTCCCCATTTACATTTCACACATTCACATAGGAACAAAAACCAAACAAGGATGATTCCATTACTCATTGCAAATTGCTTTTCTCTCTTTGCTCTTTTTAAAATTTTACTATGTTTTACATAAAGCAAATCCACTACTGAGGACTAGAAACATCACTTACCAGTTTACCTGGTGGCCCTGGGGGTCCCACTGGTCCTACTTCACCTCTGCTGCCCTAGAAACACATGAGCAGGACAGTCAACCAGGCAGTCTGCCGAAAGCAGATGCATGATTACTACATCAGCAAAGCATCCAAGCTACCTAGGTTTGTGTTTACACATATACAAAGGTCACCGAAGCACTCTCCCCGTCCTCAACTGAAGGCAGAGACCTTTATACAAACTGTCTGCAGCCTCCTCGTGTTCCTCCCGAGCCCTGACAGGCCTAACGCTGCTCACTGTGAGAAGAGACTGTTCGATAGACATCACTCCTGAAACATCTACAGGAAGTGGCAAATAGGAATTTTCAGCACGTACATCACCATCCAACTTAGATTACGGTTATTTGTGTATACGCTTTATCCTCTCATTTAGACTATGTGTTCTAGAGGTACAGGCATAGTAAAATTTCGAATTCCACATAATTGCCTAAAACCCAGAGTAAATTTCAGGTCTACAGTACATTTTAAAGCAGTAGCTGGCAAATGATCTTGAACCTCAAAAGAGTGAAAAGACACAGGACAGAGATGTTTGCCTTTAAATTACCTCTGCAACTTCAAAAAGACATACATAGAAGAAATTTATAAAGTTTCTGAAATAATTCTTCGCTCCACTCATTCTACATATGTCTTAAAAGATTAAAGACTTTGGAAAGTACAATTTATAATGTAGTTGCACCAAAAGAACACTCTAATTTCGTTCTGTGAACCAATTTCAATTTTTTATTGGAAACGCTAAGTAAGCCCTTTGAGAAAAGGAATCACATGAACTCTTCAATTTCTTTCCCTGAGAATTTCATACACTTTTATGAAATCTGTTAAAAGCTTGTTTCATTTCTAATGAATGTTCAACTAAGCTGAACACTGAGGTTGCTGGATAAATAATTACATTTCCTGGATGATGTACATAAAAATGAAGGTAGTCTTTTGAGTTTGTTTGTGTTTAAAATGATATGACAACTTCATATTAATGCTTGATATTTATAAGTGCTTCTGATAAGACTATCCTGATCTGACCCATACGCTATGTATTCATCTATAAAAAGAACAAAATGTTAAAGTCCATAAACTTTCTGCATTTTCAGTTTCTCTAAAGGATCAAGAAATGTCTGCCAAATTACAAGCCTCTATGAGCTATAATTTCATGACAGCCATTCCTTATGACTTATAGGTGATTTAAACAAAATGCTCTTAAATCCTTTAAGCTAAAGCTGAAGCTCCAATACTTAGGCCACCTAATGCGAAGAGCAGCCAACTCACTGGAAAAGACGCTGAGGCTGGGAAGGATTGAGGAGAGGAAGAGAAGGGAGTGACAGAGGATGGTTGGATGGCATCACCGACTCAACAGACATGAGTTTGAGCAAACTCCAAGAGACAGTGAAGGACAGTGAAGTGCTTTACAAAAACTTTCATATGAATGTTCTGTCTAATGTGTGAGTTTGAATGACACATTGGTCCTTAACCCTTGTGAGCAGCCTGGAAGCCCAAAGCAGTGCCTCATGAGAACAGATGCTGGAAAGAGGCAAGTCAAGTGAAAGCCAGCCACTGTGATAGATCCTTCTCTGTGTCTCTACACATAAAGGTTGGGCTTCACCCCATCACTTTGCTCCAGCACTTTGAAGTTCCAGGTAGATTTTCTTCAGTATATCAACTCTGCTGGCATTTTCTAATTATTTCTGAATTGCACCCTGATTAAGATCCTAAATATCATTGGGATAAAATGGCTTTAATTCACAGAACAATTAATAGTCACTGGTGGAAAACATAATTAACTGTGTCAGAAAGGGAAAGCAAGGTTCTTGACACAACCTCAAGTATTCATTTCTAAGTAAATGAACCATTATGCCATCCTATCCAAGACAAAGATGATTGATACACCTTTTTTTGTCTTCCACAAACCAAAGGACTAAATGTAAATAAAGGATTATGTAACCTTTCACTTACTTTTCGGAGAGATTAATCATCTTTTCAGGCAAAGGCAAAGATTCTCTCTGCTGGAACCTTATTTTCTCTGTCTTTCATGAGCTGTTATTATTCAGTTCCTAGTCTTTTCCAAGCCCTGGCAGCCCTTGGTAAAACCAATGAAGAGCTCAGAACCCAGTCTAGGTAGCCCCCTCTGCTGACCCACAGCCACGACAGGGCCACACACATAGGACTGAGGGAGGGGTGGGTGAAATGTTGAGCAGTCACTCTCCTACCCCTGCACAAATACATGGCATTGTGGGTCTTTATTTTTATTCTACTTCCATTCTATAAATCCTTTGCCATTCCGAACTTAGGCATTTCTATAGAAATTATTTCACTGTGAAAAAAAGTTAATGTTTATTTTCACAATGACCAAACAGCTACAAAAGTTAGGGCAAGATATTGTCAGGGCCATTCTTAAGAGTTCTATGTGTTCTAAAAACATGCATATTCTTCCCCTTAGTTCTTTAATTTCACCTGTAAATAAGATGAGCATGAGCAATCAAGACAGAAACAGTAATCTTTAAAAAAAAACAGGTTAAACTAAATACATCCTGCAGAGAGCCATTCACCCTAACCTGGTAACCACATGTGTGCTAAATAAATGATAAATCTCTAATGTTTCAACAGCTGTAGTGAAACCATATATTCAGATGTGGCCAGGGAGGTTGGTAGGGAAATAGTTATTCTGCCACACGGCTGATATTACAAACCTCACGATAAAAGTCACAGCTTTTAATAAGAGATTTGGAAGGAACCAGAACAAAAGGCAAAATCCTACCACTGAAAATGTGAAGACCATTAAGAAAATGCTCTATTTTTTCTCTTGAGTGCTCTGAGCCACCATGTGTGTCTCCAACATGTTAAGATACATCTGCCAATCCATCTCTATTTAAGAAGTCAATCAAAGCTTTAAAAAAGATGCAGACTTCTACCAGCAATTGCCAACTCTGCCTGTGCATCGGAATCCCCTAAGGAGTTGTTAGAAATATATTTGACTGGTGTCTTCACCACCCCACCTCTCCATTCCCCCCCACCGCCCACCAGTCCTGATGCCGAAGGTCTAGGGTAAGACCCAGGAATCTGTTGGGGGTCATGTTCTGTTTGAATGTCTTTACCAGGTTTACTTAGACTTTTGTTGAAGGCTCACTGCAGAAGTTCCATAAACACTAAACTCTTAAATTTGCTAAATATGTTTTGTGTTATTAGAATCTGCCAAGCTAACATCAAACAGAAGATATCCAGCAGAGCCTTGACTTTGGAGGCCCTGGAGGGTAGAGATGAGGATCTGGACACTCAGCCCCAGGACCGGGTCTGAAGTCCAGCCCTGCTGCGCACCAGCTCAGTCACCCCTCTGCGCTAGCAGCAATAGTGTCAGCCACTTAGTCGTGTCCAACTCTTTGCCACCCCATGAACTGTAGCCGCCAGGATCCTCTGTTCATGGGATTTTCCAGGCAAGAACACTGGAGTGGGTTGCCATTCCCTTCTCCAGGAGATCTTTTCAACCCAGGGATTGAACCTGGGTCTCCTGCAATTGCAGGCAGATTCTTTACCATCTGAGCTACAGGGAAGCTCTTCATCTATTTCCTCATATGTTAAGTGGGTTTTGAGAGGATTAAATAGATACACGAACTACTTAGAACAATATCCAGCTCATAGTAAGCACCACAGATATGCTAGTTACTATGCTCATCCTCATAGCTCAGTTGGTAAACCATCTCCCTGCAATGAAGGAGACCCAAGTTCAATTCCTGGGTCAGGAAGATCCCCTGGAGAAAGAAATGGCAACCCACTCCAGTATTATTGCCTGAAGAATCCCATGGACAGAGGAGCCTGACAGGCTACAGTCTATGGGATCACAACAGTTGGACATGACTTAGGGACTAAACCACCAACCACCATGCTCATCCAAGGTTTTATCTAAGAATAAAGACAGTCAAAACTATGGTTTTCAATCAAATGATTCATTAAATGTTCTTTGCCTTTCAAACCTCCCAAATTTCTTTAAAAGCACAGGTTGTGTTTGGGGAAAGTCTCTAGTCCTCACTTTTTGAGTTTCTGTCAAGACCACTGATCACCAGGAAGGCACTCTTTTTATAAGCAAACACTAGCAGCTACTTTGCAAAGTTCGTTTCAATAACTACAAATGGATACTTCAATACAGAAGTCTCCCTTTCAAAATGGGACTATCAGACTTCTAAAATATCACAGAAAAAAATCAATTTTATTACACTTGGGCTGTCATAATTATTTTACCAAAAGAGTGGGCTTTACTCTGCTGTGCTCTAGATTGTGTTGGTTGATACATCTGCTCGATTACCCAAAATGCTAACTAGCTGAAAAACGAACATTACCCTCAGGACCTCTGCAGTTTCAGATGTGGGAAACTATCACTATACTTAGTCTGCATTATACACTAAGTGCCGTTTTCTGGCAAAAATACGTTTAACCTAGAAGATCAGTTATGATTCCTAAAGACTGTTGCTTTTACAAATCTTTTTCATAGTAACACCTGAAGATTATATTAGTCCTACTAGAAGGATAATTTTGTCATACAAATATTTTTAAAATCTATTGAGTTTTACCACACTGGATAGTTTATAGTTCTCTCTAATGTAGGTTTAATATCTCCTCACACACAGAGGCAGACCACAATCTGCCCACACTGCAACCATCACCGCTGCTCCATAAGACACTGGTGGGGACACTCCAGAGCCTAGGGGGGCAGGAAGGTGGGCCACTCAGCAGCTCACCAAGCGGGACCCCTGCGTTGAAGCTTCTGCTGATGGGGTCGGGGTAGGGGACGTCCAGAGAAACGAGACAGGCTTCCGCACACTCCAGGAGGGCACAAACTTCAGAAAACCTGGGGTAGATCAGCATGGCACTCATCCCAGTCAAAATCACAAGAGCAGAGCAAACCCAACCCACTAGACAAAAGCTCTGGCAAGTTCTGAGAAGCCTGGAAGGGGAAAATGGACCAGAAGCCACTACTCAGTAACACCAAAGCAGAGGTCCCAGCCACCTTCCAGCTCTGGGTCCCAGGAGTCACCCAGATGCAGGTGTAGACCCTGTAGTGGAGTATAACGGAAAAAGCCAGAAACACAAGCCAAGTGGAAAAGATATGTGCTCATGTGTAATCACTGGAGATGCCAAAACTCCACTATTTTTTGCTGTGGCATTGGCAGAAATTGGTGGAACAATGGTGAGGAAAGTGGGGAACACAACTTCAAAGACACATTTCAGTTAGCCTTGATTCTTTCATAGGACACATCAGAAGTGGGTTCCATTTCTTATACTCAGCTTCCCAACTTGAGATATGCAGGGAAAACTGATCAAATTTGTGAAAAATAGTTGACAAGGCAGGAACTTACCTATGAAAATGAATTTAATGATGTAAAATGAAAGAACACATGTCTCTTTCAGTAAGTAGATTTGGTGTTAAAACTCTGCCCCAGAACTATAATATTTATAACCTCCCATGATACTCTTCTGAAAAGTTTATAGTAGGTGAGAAGTCAGTTACTGTGGACAGAAGCAGCATGGCAGAAGTCATCATCCCTCCCATCCAATGCATTTCAAGGAATGTTTATTGAGCACAACCTTACAGTGGGCCTTGAATAAAAAGACATAGGGAACACAAACATGGATCAGACAGGTCCCTGCCTTTCTGCAGCATCCACACCATGGGGGCAAAATCAAGGGTTACAGGTTCAGAATAAGGAGAGATCATGTCTCTCAGAGGAGTAGGGCATCATAAGAGATGACTCCACTGCAGACTTAACACTTCAGTCGTATCTAGGAGGACACACGGGATGTTGAGTTAGAGAAGTAGGGGAAAAACCCATTCCAATTGCAGGGTGTCACAAAGTATAAACAGGCAGACTAAGAAGTATAGAGAGTATTTTGGAATTAGCATGAAGTTGAGCTTAGCTGGAACACAGGCTCTGAGCAAGGGAGAAAGGGGAAATAAAACTAGAGGACAAACAGACACTTTAGGATTTCAGACTCTTTCATTGTCCGTGGAAACCCACTGAAAGTTTTAAAGGAAGGAGAGAAGTGATGAGGGAAACTGTGCTCTGCAAAGATCATCCTGGAGGTGCACGCAGATGTGAAGTCCTACTCTTTTCCAGGCTTCTGTGTTTGCTCCCAGGACTGTGGGGACACGGCTAGAGTTCTGGCAATGCAGGACACTCCCCCGCCCATGCCAGAGTCCTGGAGCAGGAACATCTATCCTGGCCTAAATACCAGGAGCATCCTGCTGGGAGACGCGGGCAGAAGAAGGAAAGATGTGAGCAGGAAAGGCAAATCAGGAAACCTGCAGTAACCGAGCAGTGGGGGGACCGCCTGGGCTGGGGCAGGAGGGCCTCGAGTGGGGAGCGGTGGGAAACGGGCTTCAAAAGAAGAGGCAGGTGGGAGGCCATAAAGACACGGTGGTCGAATGAGCAGGTCCCCCTGCGGGTAGGAATGTGATGGAGGAGGAACACTGTGGCTTTGAGCCTCAGTGAGGAGACAGTGCTTCCCAGGTGATGCGAGTGGTAAAGAACCTGCCTGCCAGCGAAGGAGATATAAGAGACGCGGGTTTGATCCCTGGGTTGGGAAGATCCCCTGGAGGAGGGCATGGCAATCCACTCCAGCAGTCTTGCCTGGAGAATCCCATGCACAGAGGAGCCTGGAGGGCTACAGCCCAGATCGCAAAGAGTCCAACAGGATTGAAGTGACTAAGTATGCACACGCCAGGGCAATGGTGGGAAGAATACGGATGCTTACAGAAACTGAATAATCAGAACTGCAGTGAGGCTCGAAAACTTACACAGCCATCACTCCCTCTGAGCTGCCTCCCCACCTTGAGAGGATGAAACACCGCCCATCTCCTTTTGGCTTCAAGTCCATTGGTTTCTACATCCCATAGTCCTAAGCTGGAGATGGGCCAAGCCCACTCCACCTGCGAGGCTTGTGTTTAGTGCGTGGTCCTGCCTGATATCAGCAGGGGCCCGGCCATCTGCAGGGGGTACTGCCGTTAGCAGTACTGTACTCAGTTTTCTGCTCTATAACACGAATATGACACGTGCCAGTCCACTTTCCTAAGGTTCCTGCGCCCCTCCCCCACAGTGTTCAATCTTTCTGTAATTTTAGAAATGCGATCAAGCTCTGACCTCATTCCTTTGACAGTCAACTTAGGGAAAGTATTTTAATTAGAAATTCACAGACTTCCAGCCAGAGAGGAGAAAAGGATAAGTGAGGCGTGAGGGGCAGGAGCTAGCTTCTTTGGCTGCAGAGAAACGTCTGGAAACCGCCTGATAGAAGCCAGTGGACAGATATATGATAGAAGTTCCACTCTCAACTGGGATATTTCACTTTTCTGAAGCATGAAAACCCCCACTCAACATGCTCAAGAAACGCTCTTCAAAATGTAATGGTGGTGTACCTATGGCTGATTCTTGTTGGTGTATGACAGAAAACCACAAAATTCTGCAAGGAATTATCCTTCAATCAAAAATAAATAAATAAAGTGGGGGAAAATAAGCAACAATAATGCCTGGAGATGTTTCTGTGTTCTCACTTGGAGTTGTTTTTGTTACCCAGCAGGCTTTGAAAACAAGAACTTAAAATGAAGACAAGGAAGAATTTTTTTAAAGTTAAAATTGAGTGCATCAGTTCCTCTCTAAGGGTTAAACTGTATTTAGTGAGAAAATGTACATAGCTATATTTGCTGCAAAATAAATGCATGGGTCACAAACTCACACTGAAAGAAGCATGGCAGGTTCTCAAAAGATTAACATAGAGTTACTGCATGACCCAGAAACTCCTCTCCTACACAGGTACTCAAAAGAAGTAAAACAGGTCTGCGCAAAAAAAGTCTACATTTTCTACCTGTAGAAAAATGTTCACAGAAGCATTATTCATAAGGACCAAAAAGTAGAAATAATCCAAATGCCCATCAATGGCTGAATGGATGAATAAAATAAGGTGTGTCTATAGAATTGAATGGACACGAATTTGAGTAAACTCCGGGAGTTGGTGATGGACAGGGAGGCCTGGTGTGCTGCGGTTCATGGGATCGCAAGGAATCAGACACAACTGAGTGACTGAACTGAATTGAACTGATAAAATTGAATGTTATTTGAGAATAAAAAGGAATGAAGTACTGATACATGGTGCAGCATAGAAGAACCTTGACACATTATGCTGAGAGAAGACAGTCATTAAAAAATCCACATATTGCATGATTCTATTTATATGAAATTTCCAGAACAAGCAAATGCATAGAAAGTAGATGAGTGGTTTTCTAGGGTTAAAAGGGAAGGAGGGGAAATGTTGAATCTGCAAGTGGATCTGAAGTTTCTTTTTGAGGTGATGAAAACATTTTAAAACAGACTGTGGTGACGGCTGCACAATTCTGCAAATGTACCAACCTCAATGGATCACACAGTTTAAATGGGTGAATTATACAGTATATGAATAATATCTCAATAGAGCTGATTTATATTGCGGTAAAATACTTCCTTCCACATGGGATGAGAGTAGAAAGACTCATCAAGTTTCTTTTTTAACATATTTCATCTTTATTTCCACTTTCTGGAGAAAAGAGCATACTGTATATCTAAATAGCATTCCTGTTTCATTGGTTAATCTGGATTAGCAAATGTCAGAAGGCATTTGTGGATGAGTGACTGGATGAATGAATAAAAGAAGAAAAGAGGGAGGGAGGGAGAGGGGAGCAGAGGAGGCACTCTGGGAGGGGTCTGCACAGAAGGGATACTCACAGAAAGGCCCCGAGGTCCTCGGGGTCCCACTTCTCCGGGCGGCCCCTGGCGGCCCTGTTAGAAGAAGACAGGCAGAGAAAGAGTTACACTCCCTAACCCTTTGCTTTGTCAGGACAACAGGTTACAAGGCATGAAAAGGGAACTTAGGACACCTTACCGGTTTGCCAGAATTCCCCAACTGACCGGGCTTCCCTGGAGCACCTGTGTTACCCTGAAGGTAGAACACAGTAATTCAGACTAATTTGGAAAGTAAATAAGCAGAATGATCAGCCTGACTTGCCCAGACCAGGCCTTTCTTACACTTAAACAGCATTAACTTCCTGATTTTACACTGAGAATATGGGAGAATGTAGACTCTCTTTCTTGGTGTATACATCAAAGCTCTTTAGATTTAGGATACTGTTTTGTCATTCCTGGAAGTTTCAAAAGTTTCAAAAATGTTAAAAAGTGAAGGTCAAATATCAAAAAAGGAAGGTCTTTAGCCAGACAAGAATAAGAGAGGCTTTTTTTTTTTTTACAGTATTAATTATATATGCCTTTCTTTATCATTTCCACCTCCAATACACTTCTTTGAACCTTTTAACCTGACAGTAACACCACTAAAACTGTAAATAAAGGATCATGCCAGCATGAGGAAGCAAGGGATGTGCCAGCAAGCCCCGGGGAAAGCAGGTATCTGGGATGCCATCTCCACCAGCAATTGCTCATGGCCTGCTACTGGGGGGCGCCTCAGCTCAAGACCGTCTGGGCCACTACGACCGAAAGGCTGGAGCCACGTAATCCAATTGTGACCAATTTCTACACTAGTCACAGTGGATCTGTTTTATTTAAAGTAAAGCTATATTTTGTCCCTTTAATTTTTTCTTTTGGCTATTGTTTTTAAGTGCTTGCATATAAGCACTTAACATTGATTATTCTGTGAACAATATGCTTAATATCTTTAAGTTTCAGCTAAATCATCTTAATATCCATTGACAAAATCTCTGTGGCTTAATAATATCTTCCCTATTTTAAGTGGTAAAGAGCAAGGAAAGCTTCTCTGTTTTACACTGGCAACTGATGACTCTTTCAAGAAGGAAGTCTGATCAGTAACACTTTGTCAAAGTACTCTTTCTGCAGCTGCAGTTCTCTTTGATTTCTCACTAAGGTCAAATATAAATTCAAAGGCAGGATGGAACTATTTTAAATGATAAACAAAATACATCAGTAAAATAATGAAAATAGAGAAAAATATTAATTGCAAAGTTTTCATCTTTTACCTTTTCACCAGTCACACCCTTTGCGCCAGGAATTCCAGGTATACCCTGAAAGAATGCACATGGAATGTGTGTTCAATCACCTCATCTGACAACCCATGAGATGCCAAGTCCACTGCACACTGCCAAGGGGCTGACGGCATCGTGACGACCTCAAAGCTGCAGTTTGGGGGAGAGCCTCCCCAGTTTCCCAGTTCTGAAGTTACAGACCTATGCACAATATCCACAAGCCACAGACTACAGACCTATCCACAAGCTACAGACCTATCCACAATGTGCACAGGCCACAGACTACAGACCTATCCACAAGCTACAGACCTATCCACAATGTGCACAGGCCACAGACTACAGACCTATCCACAAGCCACGAGACTTTGGCTTGTTATGTCTGAACACCCTGGAAGCAAATTCTAGCTCTAAACTAAAGTTATTTTTTAAGGATAAACTTTACTAAGGTCACTTTTTAAGGGTGAACTTTCAAATTAGAATCTGGTCCTATCTTCAGGTCAACAGGAACTCTTCCTGGCATGATTTCATGTACAGAATACAAAACAGGAACCTGTCAAAAACACTAAACTGCAAGAAGAAAAACAAAATGGCAGGAGAATGCTGGGTCTAACTGAGATTTGGTGCTATCCAGAGGCCTAATATTCTCTGATTATTTTTTAAGTGTCAGATATCATAATAAACTGGAGGGCAGTCCTCAACATTACCAAGTAGCCCCTTTAACTTGAAATATGTGCCTCCAAAGAGCCAAGAAAACACATGGGATAATCTACATGAACTTCCAGCCACAGTAATGCAGGAAAACACCAATCTGAGTAATTCAAAATAGCACACAATCAAAAGATGAAATCTTATAGCTCACATGGTTCCCTGAACATACTCTCAACCTTATGGCTCATCCCTGGTCCTAGGGCTTCAGAACTGGTTCAACTAGGAGGAAGTATAAAGCCCAGACCACAGCTCAGGGTTGGTGAAATGATATAAAGAAAATTGACTGAACTAAACAGAGGAACAGATGCAAAATATAAACTTAAATCTTAGTGTGGTTTAACTAGTTATTCAGAGAAAAAGTACAAAAATGTACAACTGTAAAAACACAAAATTAAAGCATCTTTTCTTCCCTAGAACTTATCAAAATACACAATATGTTTCCCCCTCAAATGCATATGTTCAAAATATGTATATAAATCAATCAACACTAAATACTCGAATACTTACAGGTAATCCCTGCAAACCTGCTTCACCAGGAGGCCCGGGTTTCCCTGGTTCCCCCTGAAAAAAAAAGTTTTTGTTGAACCTGTATGAACTATTGTCTTTCTTTTAAGAAAAGGAAAGACAAAAACCTTCTAAGTAGAAGGGCTATCCGCACAGCTGACCTTACGTGCACTTTTATAATGTGACCTTGTTCAGGATGGGAAGGTGGGATAGGACTTAGGATGGAAATGCCATCAAAATATGAGATTTCCTTCTGCCTATGTTCATCAACAAGGCAGTTTTACTGAGCTTCTGAAAACAAGCAAACATTCTTTTTGTTTTTGGTGTTTTTTTTTTAATCAAAGTATAGTTGATTTACAATGCTGTATTAACTTCTGCTGTACAACCAAGTTACTAATATACACATGTATAGGTTCTCTTAATATTCTTTCCCATCATGGCTTATCCCAGGAGACTGGGTATGGTTCCCTGTGCTGTACAGTGGGATCTTATTGTTTATCCATTCTTCATATAATAGTTTGCATCTACCAATCCCAAACTGCTAGCTCTTCCCTCCCCCATCTCTCTCCCCCTGTCAACAAGTCTGTTCCCCATGTCTGTGAGTCTATTTCTGTGTGGTAGATAAAATCATCTGTGCCATATTTTAGATCCCACATATAAGTGATATTATATGGTATTTGCCTTTCTCTTTCTGACTTCTAAGAATTTTGAATTGACCCTTGATTGAGAAAACTAAAGGAGGGGAAAAAGCCAAAGCCAGCTCAATAAATGTCCCAGTGACATAATGATGGAAGCTCCTTGGTGGGCCAGGGCAGAGACCACCCTATCGCCCTTAGACTAAATTGCACGGCTACCTTTGTTCCTGGCATTCCAGGTATTCCGTCACGGCCATCCACACCTGGCAAGCCCTAAAGATGCACAAAGAAACACAGTGTCCCTTAGAAACACATCCCTCTTCCTTTCATTATTTTATAAAGTTTTATTACAATAACCACTTTGAAGAATGAGCTTGATGACTATAGCTCAGGACTTACTGTGTCCCCTTTGGGCCCAGGGAGACCAGGAATTCCAGGAGAACCTTGAGGGCCCTGCAGGGCAGAGGGAGGAGACAGAACAGAGACAGTTACCACGTGTACTTAGGTCACGTCAAGGAGATCTGCACAACCTCCATGCTGGTGGTGATTAACGTGGATTCAACTCACTCTGTCTCCCTTGGGACCTATTTCTCCTGGAGGTCCTCGCTGTCCTTGGTCACCCTGCAAACACAAAATAAAACTGTGCTCATATGAACAGAATTAACTTATTGATAGGCTTTTGAAATTATAAAATTCTGTCCAGATTATCTCACATTGCTCTTTCATCTCAATGGCTTTGATTTATCATGGATGCCTCAAGAAACCTTTTTATAAAAATTATATTGTCCTAAAAATTGATATTATCATAAAGATAACCAAGACTTACATGCCAATTGATTTCACTATAAATGCATAATGCTTGTGCACTCTTTGGATGAACAGCTATAATAAAATTAAGGTACACACTGCAGGTAGCTGACATCAGGCACTTTGTCCACACATCCTCTAGCCTCATTCACTATCATGGTGGGTTGAGGTTTGGATGAGTTGCCAACCTTTTCTCTGTATTTTACTTACTTCTCCAGTCAATAATAATGATTTCTGTCAGAACTATCCAGTTGATGTTTATATATGGTCAGGTGGTAACAGATGAGAGGACGTGTCTTCCTAAAATACAGCTTTGGTTGATTGGTGAGCTGCTCTGAAACCTCAAATGGCTTCCGATTGCTACCGGATCACTTACAATTGCCCAGATTGGCATAAAACACTCCATAATGTTCCTCTACCTTGTCTATTCCAGCTCATCTTTTAACAGGAGCTCTGCACTCAGGCAGTGGCAGCCCTATACCAGCACACCCCATCACCCCAACAGGGCTGCTCCCTACCTGTCCTCGCTGCTCTATCCCACCTCGCACATGTTTGCAGGTCCACCTTCCTCTAAGGTCTGCTTGGTGCACGTCTGCAGCTTGATCTTATGATGTTATCCTCCAATTACATTCTTTCTTTCCCACTGGACCTTGACAGTTGGAAATTCTATTCCACTTATACCTTTTCTACTTTTTCATGTGGTATGAGTATCAGTGAACCATTTTTTGGTTTATTTACTTCCAGAAAAGGTGTGAGGCAGTCCACAATAAGGACACATCTACACATGGCCATCAAAATATAAAATAATGAGACCAGAAATCATATGAGAGGAAAAGCACAGAACTACCCAAGAACTCAAAATGAGAGAGTTACTGTGACTCCTGGCATCCTGGCAACCACAGTGAAAGGAAAAAACACAGCAAGCAAAAAAAAAAAAAAACAATTTGACCAAACTTATGTGAAAAACAAGACCCATGTCAAGTCAGAAGAACATTTCTCTGTACAAAAGAAAAAAATAAAGATGCTTGACTTAATTTTTAAAATTTTAATAAATATAAAAACTATTGCCCATTTTTCCACTTGATTCATATATAAATGATACCTGCACACACACATACATATATTAATAGCAAAAAATCTACCACTGATCATTGCTAAAAAATCTATCAGTGAATTCCATGAAAAGTACTTACAGGTGCACCAGGGAGCCCCTGAGGCCCAGGTTCTCCATCTAAGCCCCGAGCACCCTGCAAATAAATAAGACAAGGAAAATGAACTCAAGATCAGTGATGCACACTAAGGGTACTTCAGTCTTTCTAAAGAATTTCAACAGCCAGATAAGAAAGAGGCTTTGTGTCTTGTGTTGCAGTATATACTGATATTCATCAGTGAGCCCAAGAAGTATTTCATCAGAAACCTCAGTGGTGAAAACACCGGTTTACATCTTCTCATTCCATCAAAAGCACTACACCAAACATTTGATACCACCTTGGATATCTTAAATGAACAAACACAGCACCCTGTCCTGATTGCTTATGTGAGCTACTTACTGAGAGAACCTGGAAAGCCTATTGGGAAGGTTCGGTCATCATGCTCTGGGGTTCCCAGGACTCCAGTGGGAATTCATTGATGATGAAGACCAAGGCGCTACCTAAATAGCAGTTGCCCTGGACCCTGTAGCTGCCACACCCAGAAGAGATTTCTGTGACTCTGGATTCCCACCCAGATCTAGAATCAGGACTCCAGATTTGTGATTTGGAGGAATAAACTGCAAAGAAGGTGTGAGCATCCCCTCTTCCACCCTGAATAGACAGTAGGTTCAGTTTGTGTAAAGTGATTGATCTGTTTCCTCCACAATAGCTTCACCCCACCAAGAGATGCTGGCTAAAAACTACAGGGCTTTATAAATCTAATTTTCACGAAATTATCTCTGCCTGCCTTATCTGTGGTACACATCCCCTCCTTATTTTCATTATAAGGATCAAAACATGATTTCAAAACAAAAATATGGGATCTTAGTGCTCTCCATCTATGCTACATGGCAAAATACAGCCCCCTCCCCTTGTTGAAATCTTTTTCTCATTTACCACTCGTATGAGAAGGCAGATGGGCACTTGGAGAGAACAAGCCCTCTCCTAATGAACAGGCTTGGGAGGAGGAGATGATGAAAGATATTTTTAAAAATAGTCAAAAGGGTATTGGGTAGATGTCAAGCCAAGAAAACCAGGTGTCTGCAATAAGAATTAAAAATTAGAAAACCTTTGATAGAGGGTTCAGACATGGGTAGCATCAAAGAAGAAGCAGAGGCACCATGGAGCCTTGAAAGTCTTTCATCCCTAAAAACTGGAATAGAGCAGAAGGCATTCTCCATCCACCAGGAAGGAAGAGGTTTGGGAGACCTGAAAAAGCCTTTGAATTCATAGCTCATGTTGCTGGGAGGGAGCAGAGCCAGCCCTCGTGTTACAGAAATGGCTTTGATGCCTCTCTCTCTCTCTCTCTCTCTCTCTCTCTCTCTCTCTCTCATTGCTGCTCAGCACCAGTTCAGACCCAAACTGCTGTTACTAAGTAACCACAGCAAGGGTATGAGTTCACCAGAAGAGCTTTTTTTCTTTTTATTGAAAGCAATCTGACCACAGTCAGAGGCAATGAGAAAATTTTGAAAACTACCAAGTAGCAAAATACCTCAAATAAAGAGCATATCAACAACGGTAATTGGTTTCAAAATAAGGGTCACATATTTTAGGAGATGATTTAAACCAGAAAACAAGCAAAAGCCTGGGTATCAACAATTTCAAACTAAATGGGATTTGTTACTTAGTAACAGAAGAGTACCAGCAAAATGTTACCTAAGGTAACATGAATACAGAAATATAAAAATATGTTTTTAAAAACACGATGCTTTTAGAAAAGAAATATTACAGAGGAGATGGAAGAGGGAGCCAAGAACAATGAGAAAACCCAAGGAGACAAAGAAAAAGTTGGAAAAAAAAACCAACACTGAAGGAATTGCTCACAAAGCAATTCCTCAATCCACAAAACTGTGCATCTATTTTCCTAGAAGATTGGAGTTCGTTTACTGAGCACCGGCAGTGCGCACGTTATCCTTCCCTGGTTGTGAACGACAGGCTATGTGATTCCGTGTAGAGCAACAAGGATTAGTCTCAGAGGTTCTGTGAAGACTGAGGTGAGGGTCAGACAGGGTGATGGGCAAAGTGCCTTCTTCTTAATTTTCTGGAATCCTACAAATGGGTTTTCTTAATAGACTTTCTAAAGAAGTGCTGACCATTTTCTTAAAATCTCAGAGAGGTTAGACACACCCCCTTACTCATGTAACACACACACACAGAGCAAGAAAAATATTTCTGAGCTCATCATGAACTTTCAAGTTTAAGCTGTTTTCACGTTTGTTATCCAGTCGGCCAAGCAATGCCTGCCCTGCCCTCTCCATGGAGTGGCTACGCCTCCTCCGTCTGGCCAGGCATTCTGCCTTCCCCCCCTTCTCCACCCTCCTCCGCCTCTGCCCTGAACCCCAGGTGCTGCGTCAGAGTCAACTACTGACAATGACAAGATGTGAAATACAACAGCCTGCTTACTCCTGCTTACCCTCAATCGCTGAAGACACACAGTACATAACCAGTATCAACCAGTAGACGACTCATGTCTGTCATCTATGTTTATAACAGAAATGTAAGAACCTAACCAAACTTCTACAAAGCACCCAATAAGAAATAAAATGTGATGTTGTTGAAGATAAGAAGATATTTTGAAATGGCCCAAAACTTAAACATGTATGTGTATTGATTTTGATGATCACATCATCATTTTACCTTTTCCCCTTTCTCGCCAGCTACGCCGGTAATGCCTCTCAAACCTTGAGCTCCCTTGAAAAGTAAACAAAAAGAGACAGAGAAGTACATTCTTTGAGTTGAAGCACATATGCTTTGATGTCATAACCAAATGTAACAATGAGAAGAGCGATACGCTTTCTTAATTTAGAAGAAAAATCCAAACGGAATTCTGCTGATGGTAAAACTCTTTTTAAAAATTCTGGAGACTTCCACAAATCTGGAATTGGAATAACGATTGATCACAAAAAGAAAATACCATTAGCATAAAAGAATTATGGAGAAGGAAATGGTAACCCACTCCAGTAGTCTTGCCTGGAGAATCCCATGGACAGAGGAGCCTGGAAGGCTACAATCCATGGGGTCACAAGAATCGGACATGACTTACTGACTAAACTCCTACTACTACTATTTGGCTTTTAACTCACACACAGAATACACTGCCACTTTTGCCTCCTCCATGGTTTGTAACTTGGTTACACGTCACACAGTAGTGATTTTAAACCTTGGAGTAACTTTTCCCCACCAGCGGATGCCACCCAAGGCAATTAGGCTCCCAAGGTAGCCCAGGAAAGCTTCTTCCTATGGATGTAGCTGGGGTCTCCATCAACCACTTGCCATCACTCTTTGTTACACTGTTTCTACAATAAAAGATACTCTGAATTTCGGTTTGGGGCAGTAGGAACCCATCTTATCCCTTCTCCAGCACAGCAGCAGGTAATCCTCAAAATGAGGATGCAGGGTGTTATTTCTAGAATCCGCTTCAATCCTGAATGCTACCATTCTAGACTTCTGGCCCCACCAGCAGCAGGGATCCAGAAACAGATGCTGTAGACATGCTGCCTGGGGAACAACAGGGGCAGACACTCCATCGGGAAAGCAGGGTGGCCCCTTCCAGACAACTTGCTAACAGTCCACGCTGGCTTAAGATAAACTGGCTCTAGGCCAGTCATTTCCCTGGGTTCGCAGTGGCTCCACACCAGCTCTGTTTTACATCCAGGTCAGTCCCAATTCTCTGCAGAGCAGTTAGGAACGGCCTGAAATATACATTTCAGGATGATCCAGCTCAGGACACAAAATGAGATGTGGCCAAATCAGATTAAAGCAGCTCCCTTACTGACTGTGGCTCACTTATTGACTCTGAACACAATTCAAAAAGAATTCCAGAAATATTAGGGTCAATAGAAGAGATATGGGAATGACATGTATTATCTCTCAAGGAGAGCTTTTGCATAAATATTCCAAAAAGCATACTTTGTACAAATCAGTGTGTTCCTTGACAGATCCTGTATTTTATATAAAAAATGAAAAAACTGTGAATTTTACAGAAATATTTTTGCATGACCTCTCCCAAACTCCAGAAGTAATGATATCCTCCAGTGACCACTGGGATCATGCAGCATAAGACTGAAAAATACTTAACCGGAGGTCCTTGAGCTCCAACTTCTCCTAGTCCGCCCTGGTCCCCTTCTTCACCCTGAAAAGCAACACAGAGAAGGGCACCAAATGCTCTTCCAGGAAGTGACCTGAAATGGGCTCAGTCTAAGTCTGCACCCCCTGAATTAGTCTATTATACTTTCTTAAATTATTTTATGTGAATAGTCCATATGAATTGAATTAATCCATATTAATTGAATTAATATTAATTCAATTAATCCATATTAACTGAATTCAGAAAATACAAACAAGTATAGAAATAAAGTCACCCCAATCCCACTTTTCAGCTGTAAACACCAGTAACATTTTAGATGCTATCCTTTCCAAAATTTTTCTAAAGAGAGAGAGGAGGAGAGGGAGGGGGGAAGAGAGACACAGAGAGACAGGGAAAGGGTGTGTATGCATTCAGGTACTAAGTGTGTGTGTGTGTGTGTGTGTTGTGGGTGTATTATTAGGAAAGTGTGACCACACTACGCAAACTTTTCCATAAACTATATTTCTACTATGATTTTCATTTTAACTTTTTTATTACAGTTTTCATACCATGCACAATTTTTTAACGTATTTAAATCAGTCTTTTCTTCCATGACTTCTACCTTTTACCCTTAGAAAAGCCTTATCTGCCTCCCAAAAATAAATATTCATCTACTTTATTCTTTTAGTAATTGTATATGTATCATTTAATTTCTTATGATAATTCCATTATCAGTCATTTATTTTTATGTAAATATAAAGTAGAAATCTCCTTTTTCCTTCTTGTCACTGTTGTTCAGTCGCTAAGTCGTGTCTGACCCTGTGACTCCATGGACTGTAGCACGCCAGGCTTCCCTGTCCCTCACTGCCTCCCAGAGTTTGCTCAAGTTCATGTCCTTTGAATCAGTGATGCTTTCCAACCATCTCATCCTCTGCCGCCCTCTTCTCCTTTTGCCTTCAATCTTTCCCAGCATCAGAGTCTTTTCTAATAAGTTGGCTCTTCGCATCAAGTGGCCACAGTGTTGAAGCTTCAGCTTCAGCATCAGTCCCTCCAATGAATATTCAGGGTTGATTTCCTGTAGGATGACTGGTTTGATCTCCTCGCTATCCAAGAGTCTCTCAAGAATCTTCTCCAGCATCACAGTCTGAAAGCATCAGTTCTTTGGCGCTCAGTCTTCTTTATGGTCCAACACTCACATCTGTACATGACTACTGGAGAGACCATAGCCTTCACTAGACAGACCTTTGTGGGAAAAGTGATGCCTTTGCTTTTTAATACACTGTCTAGATTTGGCATAGCTTTCCTTCCGAGAAGCAAGCATCTTCTAATTTCATGACTGCAGTCACCATCCGCAGTGATTTTAGAGCCCAAGAAGAGAAATCTGTCAGTGCTCCCCCTTTCTCCCCTTCTATTTTCCTTCTTACTGGCACTCTATTCAATATCATTTACTGAATAATAGATTCTCCCCACACAGATTGGAAAATTCATCTTTAACATATATTAAATTGATAAATAAACTTGCTTGTGGAATTCCTATTAAGCTCTACCAGTTTTCTATATGATGTTGTCAATACAACAATATTTTAATTATCAAAATTCTATAATACATTCTAATCTTTGGCTGGGAAAATTCATTTACTTTTATTTTTCATTTACAGTTACTCTTATTTTTCAGATTTTCCCAAATGTATAGCCTTAGGCATGAACTTTAGAATTGTTGGGCAGAACATCACAAAAAAAAAAATGCTGCTTGCTTTGTACTAGAACTTCATTAAATTAATAGATTATATAGAGAAATAATTTTTACAATACTGAATCTTTCCATTGTGGAACTCAGTGTATCTTCTGATTTGGTTAAAATGTTTCCTTTTTCTTTCCATCAATAAAGTTTTGTTCTTTTCTTCAAATTGAATACTTAAGTGTGTTTTACGGTATCTTAACTAGCTGGTGGCCACTACCAATGGAATCTTCTTTCATCATGTTTTCTAATTATTGCTTTGACTTTTTATATTAATTATATAATCTCTGATGCATGTATTTTTTACTTTATTTATTTATTTGGTTGCACCAGGTCTTAGCTGCAGCACGTGAGTCCAGTTCCTTGACGAGGGATCAAACTCAGGCTCCCTGAATTGTACTGGGTCCTAGGGACTGGACCACCAGGGAAATCCCACTGATACATTTTTAAATGTTAGGATATTCTAAACAGAAATCCAAGGACTACTATTTCTTACAGAAAGGTTACTTTATGGACTCTGAGAAAGTCATTTTCTCTCTGACTAGGATTTTGCTTTTTATAATAGATATACTACCCTACATTTCCTATGGTAACAAATAAATTGTGAAGTTAGTTATTAGAAAAATAACTTAATTTTTAATATATGTACATAATAGTAGATTAAAATCCAATTCTATTGTTTCTGACCTGTTTCAATTCACTTATTTTCTTGTTCCACAGGCTGCAACTTTGCATTTGGAGATTTTTTTTCACACATAGACAAAGAAACACCAGAAAAACTTAGCAGCAGTATTAATATAGAACATTTGGCCACACATAGCAAAGAACTAGGCTATACCTAAACCATTTACACTTGATTTCTGAATAAACTCTCAGAATCTTATATAGTGGACTTTTGTTAGTTCATGGAATGGATAATCAAAACATGTATAATTAAACACTACTTGTATTTCCCCACTTAAGTATAAAAACAAAAGTGATTTTAATTTTTCATTAGTAGAGCTTGGGGTATTTTCCCATTGATTCTTGTTAAAACTTAGAGTAACATAGTTGATTTAACTATTTCACCAATAGATGAATAGCACATAGTAACTAGTCAATAACCATAAAGCTAAATGGCAAATTTAGGAATAGCAACTTATTATCATTTTACTGAAAGTTTTTTTGATGGTTCATTCTTAGATTCATAACCAAATTATTTAAATATTCATTAACTATTTTGTGGAGTAAATTCAAGGCAGAATTGTGAATCTGAAAGCAAACTTCAGGACCCTAGTCTTAATTCTTCATCTTTCTGCTTTCAGCTCACAACTAAATGCATCCATTAGCCTTTTCAGGTTTCCTTTTTAAGTAGTTATATTATCTTCATAGATCAATTTTCAAAGACAAACACTGAAAGTTTAAGTGACATATGCATGTGAAATAAATAAGGAACGATCAACAATTTTTAATTATGAAAAGTTTTTTCATGAACATTTTGGCCAGTTACCTAACACACCAAGAATTTTGCAGGTTCCCCACTTAAGACCAAACAAATTTGAAAGTCCAGATAACTAACTTGCATAGGTCTCAAAAATACTAGTTTCATGGGTGAGTAGAGAGACCTCTGATTGACTATTTCATTCCCAAACCCCATGGGATGGGGGAGTGGAAGTTTCCCTAAGAGAAGGGGTCACCAAAAAAAGAGGAAAGGATACAGGGCATCAAAACAGCAGAAGTCCACTAAGTCTGCTTTACTATACATATTACCTCGAGGTGTCTTTCAGTGTGGTTTAATACTCTGTTTCTATGGTTAGATCATATTCTATTATATGGATATGTCATACTTAAATTAGCCACATCAGACATATGTGTTCATTTCTGTGCCCTTAGCACTTAGAATAAACCCTGGCACATAACAGAGATTAATAAATATTTGTTGGTTTTTTTAGTTACAAATTTAAAAATTCAATGGAGGAACAGGCACACAGAAAAACATCCAAAGTACTTGATGTTTTTATAATTTTCTCCAATTTGTCATCATGAATTCACCTGTGATGTGCCAGATGAATAAAATGGCTCTACTATTCAGAGCCTAAGTAATAAAAGACTTTTAAAATGTAAGTTCACACTGTAATAAGGTACAGGAAATTGGTTTATTTATCTTCATTATCTGAGACTGTTCAATAGTTTTTCCTAAGGAATTCAAGAATATGAGTGCCTGAAGATATTAATAAATTTCTTCTCAAGCTCTTAACCTCAAAAGATAGACTTCTGCCACCCAGTACAGGTGTAAATGAACTTATTCAACAAAGTCTAGGCAACCCACATTAATAAGAGCAGTTTGACTTTGTAAAAATACTATGGAATTTACAGGGACAAATATTCTACCATATAAGAAGTCAAATTCCTAGTTACTCTAAGGCGATTTCATCCTAGTGGATGAAAAAAGACAAACAGGTCACCTTACTTTAAATTTCAGCCTTGCAGGACGCGCTAGTTCCACTATAAGTTGTGCTGTGGATTCCAAGTTTCTACCCAAAAAACAATATACGTGCTATTGCTAGCTCCCAGATGACTCAAAGCCTAAGTTATATTGAAATAAAGTCAGAAACAAACAGAAAAATTATTTCAGAACTTGAGAAGCTATAAGCCAATTATCAATTCCCTGTTTGCTTATCTCAGCAACACTTGTCATAAAACTTTACACTTGTCATAAAATGTTGTCTAGTGGAGTGGAACAGCCAGTTTGAATAACATTTGACTATCAAAAGCATCAAGGAAAAGAGCTGAGTGTGGTTGATTAGAAAAGGAAAGCAAGGTGTAGCAACACAGGAAGGAATGAAAGTGTATGGTACTTTCTTCGTTCTTTTTTTGTAACTGAACAACCTTAGGATATGATGCTTAGTCAGAATATTGATGCATCTGCTGAGAACTTTTCAATCATCATTGGAAAAGGAAGGGGCAAAAATCATGCTTTGTTATTCCTTATAAGCCCTTACAATGAAAGTCATTACAACCTCTTAATCACAATGTACCCAATAATATGCCTTGTCCTTACCTTGTGACCTTGTCTTCCAGGTTCACCAATCTCTCCTTTAGCTCCTTTATGACCCTAACAAATGCAAAAATGCATAAGTAGAGAAATAAATAAATGTGTTGGATTTGACACAGAAAGTGGTCAGATGGCTCATAAAGTGACCTTGCTCCCCTATATGTAAGTCAACGTGCTGCTAAGAGAAAGGTTATGTCACAAAGAAATGACAGCCTTAGAAGAATTTTAGAATACCATGTGTACTACATGACTGTATACGATAGGTATCAGTTTCAGTTAACAAACTCTGTCCTGGAATAACAAATCCTCCAGTACCTAGGTCAGTAACTAGATAATGACACTGCCTGCTGGTGTCTAGAGCCCTTCTTCCCAACTTCCTCTCACAGCTGGGCCAAAGGGACATTATGTCCTCCAACATCAGTAACTCACTCTCCAGACATGGACCGCTGACCCACCAGACCAGCTGCCCCCTGCTCTCTGGAGCCTCCTCTGAAAACCCTCTTCCTCCTCTGCACCCATGGCCTTACTCAAGGCAGAAGAAGGGCTTCCCCCAATGTAGAACTTTCTGCCCCTTCTTCTGCACAGTTTAAGCACAAATTCAGTTCAGTTCAGTCGCTCAGTTGTGTCCGTCTCTTTGTGACCCCATGGACTGCAGCACACCAGGCCTCCCTGTCCATCACCAACTCCCAGAGTTTACTCAAACTCATGTCCATCAAGTCAGTGATGCCATCCAACCATCTCATCCTCTGTCATCCCCTTCTCCTCCTGCCTTCAATCTTTCCCAGCATCAGGGTCTTTTCCAATGAGTCCGTTCTTCGCATCAGGTGGCCACTTCAGCATCAGTCCTTCCAATGAACACCCAGGACTGATCTCCTTTAGGATGGACTGGTTGGATCTCCTTGCAGTCCAAGGGACTCTCAAGAGTCTTCTCCAACACCACAGTTCAAAAGCATCAATTCTTCGGTGCTCAGCTTTCTTTATAGTCCAACTCTCACATTGACTAGATGGACCTTTGATGACAAAGTAATGTATCTGCTTTTTAAGTGCAAATAGACATCTATAAACAGCAGCCAGCAAAGGCTGCAAAGCACAAGAAGAAATTCCCATCTTTCATTGCCAGGACACCTGTCCTAACAGTTTGGATCAGTAACATAAGATAAATGTGAAATAAACATTCCAAAACTTTTCTATCAGTTTTGTCCTAAAAGCCCTTCTTGTTCCCAGGGTTCAAGTTTCCATGAAAAATAACACACCCTTTGAGGTCCACATATTCTGCATGGTGGGTGCACACCCAAGCTAGCCTCAGAGAAAACTGCAATGGGAAACTCAGTGCCTCAGAGTCTTTCGGATCTTGGCACAACTCCCCCAATCTGGAATTTTTCAAAATCATTTCAGACTCATAGAGTAGAGAGAAAAAGTCGATTAACCCCAGCATTTGGTATTTATTTCTTTATTTCCAACGGGCAATTTTGAAGCAATTATGATGGCAGAGTGAGAGAAAAACACTTTTGAAAGTGTCTTTTTTTCCCTCTATTTTGCACAGTTTTTCCAATTTCTTTTTAACTAAAACAGTTTGAAATACATTATATGTACAGTCCTTGGCCCCTGTCTCTCACTATTGGAGAAAACTTCTGAACCTTCATCTGGTGTTCTAGAGTCTCTCAATCCAGTGCATTTCATTGATATTTCTTCCCTGAGAAACAGAAGCACTGAATAGCCAAGTACCTCTGTCTTGTGAGCTGTCAGCGTACCAGCGGGAACTTCCAGGACTGAAAAAGGACCACAGACAAAGCCACCGGACAAGCAACACAGACTTGCCTAATCCATCAGAGTGTGGTCTGTGCACGAGCAAGCTTAGTGCTTCAGGGAAAGCCTCTGTTTTTCATATAGATAATACTCATGAAGATAGAATACAGCACAGACATTATTGTCTTACCCTCATGCCTGGCAGACCTGGGTATCCCGAACGACCCGGTGGGCAGGAATTGGGACACTGCCAGAGAGACAGAAAGAGAGTAACCAAGAGCCTCTGCTTCATGATAAAATGATACATCCTTTAGGGTTTCCAGCTGCAGAATCCCAATGCAAGTCTATTCATTAACTAACTCTGGCTACTCTTTCCTTTTTTATTTACTTGTAAACTCAGAAATATTCCTAGCTTACAGAAACACACAGAGAACATAACAAACCCTTTCCCCACGTATCCACCATCCAGATTTAATTAATACTACTATTTTGCCATATTATTTCAGATTCAATTTGTTCAAGAAAGAAAACATTTACAGACCAACCTCCCCCACTCCAATCCAACAGCTCAGTCCTAAAGGTCACGTTGCCCCCAACAAATGGACCAAAACTGCGTTTAGTGCAGTTTTCCTATACTGTTTGAATATCAGTCTATGAGTAAAACAAGCCTCAGACAGCATTATTGGACTTCGATCTTCTAAAATTGGAATGCTCTGGTGAAAAGCAGGTCTCCTCCATAAAGTAAGAGAGATTATGGAAAAAGAAAGATAATTCCATAATGAAAAAGTTAGTGTGAATATGTATAAGTGACCAGTCCACCAGTCCAACAAAGTGCTCTGCCATCTGAGTAAAATAAAACATGAAAATACAACATATTCTAGTGAGATCATCTCAAAGAGAATTCATCTTCTAAAGAGAATTCCTGGACTTTGACTTAAAACTGTATTTTATTCAAAGGAAAATGTCTTACCAACGGATCTCCATCATGAAAGCCAATTGTTCCCTAAAGTAAGGAAAATGTGAAAGTTAAGAATATAGTGAAATATTTAATTCATCCTACTAGTAATAAAATGTTCATTTGACAAATACAGTATTTTTTCAATAAGCTATAAGGAATAAATAGCCTGATATGCTAATATTCTAGAAACTTCACTCATGGGTCTTTTCTGTTTGAAGAAATCTAAATTTTAGTACATTATTTCTTTCACAGGATTGAAAAGAAAGTAAAATGAAAGAATAGAAAATATGGAGAATTCTGAATCATAAGTTAAAAGTATGGATTATCTACCAATTAACCTCATTTTTTAAACTGCTCATTGTGTAAATCCGTCATAAAAACTAGTTCATTTGAAAATGTTCCTTTTATATGTCCAAGTTTTGAGCATTTGAGAAGTCAAAAGCCTCAAAGCACTTCAAATATAATGCATAAACCATTCCTTTGAAAATCACCGTTCAAATTATTGTGATTTCTCAACTATACTGGCCTTAAAAGACCATGCTCTGAATGAGTGAAAATATCATAGCCATTTTGAAATTTTAGGACAATGATTCAATTTAAAAGTCCTTTCATTTTTGGTTCTTAGGATTCTATAATCCCAACTTTCAGACACAGAGAAATTCAAACTGCAAATAACTTACACTGGGTCCCGGGGGGCCAGGGGGGCCCGGTGGTCCTCTTTTCCCAGGATCGCCCTAAGTTATTTGAAAATTGTGACACAGTGGTTATACACACATCAAAACACACTGCACAAAAAGGTGAGATATGAGAAACTGACATTCCTACAAAACCCTGCAGGGCTCAGCCCGCATAGACCTGCCACCAAAATCGATGGGTGACCCACAGTCCAATTAGTTCCACAAAGTTAGAAGAGTAAAGGAGTTCCAGCCTCATCAAAGTAATAAATAAGGCGGAGGGAGGCTTGGGGGAAAAGAGCCACTTCTCTATACACAGATCACTTTACTCTGGAAACACTACGCATTTTTCCAGTTGATTTTCAGGGGAACCAGAATAGTTGACACTGCCAGCGCCGCCCAGCTAAGGGCAGCTCACGCCTGCCTAAAACTGTAAACAGGAAGGCAAGCTCTGCAGGGCCAGTCAGCCCTGGACTCTTCACCCAGAAACTGTCCCTCACTGTCACTGCACGCACTTGAGCAAAGATGGCTAAATACGCCATTCAGATGAAAGTGGATTCCAGTTAGAATCACCAGCGCTTCCTCCCCGCACACCTTTTCCTTCTAATATTCTATCATAAACCAAAAGCACCTTACAATCTACTTTATAATCATTTTATATGCATTCTTGCATTCAGTAAATAAATTTGTCAAACAGCAGGACCTACTGAGAAGCTAAAAAGGTATATATGTGGCTCCTGCTTTCAATGAATTTACTATTATCAATTCTTCAGATAATATCACTACTTCAAGATTTTTTGAATATTTATTGAATATTAACATCAATTTCTTCCATGAAGTTCAGCTCTCTACTGATTAAAGTTCTGTTGGTTCGATTATGATTTTACAATGCCACCATAAATGTACACGGGAATAATTTTAGACTATTCACTCATTTCATACAGAGGAACTGATACAAAAGTTTGGACCCCAATCCCAAATGAGTCTGTAAAATGAAGGTGACAGTTCTTGGCTTAATCACTAATTCTAGAAGCTGGGAAGGAAAGTTCAGCTGAAAACTTTGGGGAAAAAAATTAAAATCACTCTACAGAAATGAGATAGCATTATTACCCTGGTCCTCATCAGTATTATAAACTGGAATTAAACTTATCTGCCATTTCTTGGATTTGTAGGGGGAAACACACACAGGGCAATTTGCCATCCCCGGTAACATCTTCTATTAAGTCAACAAACATCTGTCAACGCGCTGCGTGTAGGTATGTGGTACTCACAATCGGTCCAACACGGCCAAGCTCTCCAGGGAGCCCTGCTCCCCCAGGAGGACCCTGAAATCAACAAATTAGAGGGACATAGTGACTTATGATGTTTTCACAATTTATGACAAGTGATACCAAATATAATAAATGATTGACTCAGAATGATGTATCTCTGCTAGCTTTGGCTTCCAATGAGACAACAACTCATCTGACCAAAGAGTAACTACTTAAAATGGAAATTCCTTACATTAACAGAAATTTCTTAAATTAATACAATATTTTTAGTAGAATAGGGGAGCTGTCATAGTAGCCACCTAAGATCCCTAAGGGAGGGCACTGTCAACACCACTGGTGGATTGCTGACTGGAGCCTAAGGTTGGGATCTGAGACATGGGCCACTCTTATAGACTACATAAAACAAACCAACAGACGATACTCACAGGAGGTCCAGGAATACCACGGCCCTAAAAGGTTAAAATAAAAGTTGTTATGATACAGGACCCATACTTCATGTAGTTACAGAAGTTACTTCTGTAAATACAGAACTAACTCAGTTCTAAAATGAACTACAGAGTCTATTACTAAACAAACGTACGATGCTCAGTCGAAAAGAAAGGACTGGGTAAAGAAAGCAAACTTGGCTCCACTTCTAAATGAAGAAGCTTGCTTCAGCTCTTCAAATGTTCTTTCGATGTCTAAGCTAACTGGTAGGATTTTTTTCAAACTTTTTTTTTTAAAAGAAAGCAAAGTAAAGAAAACACACTCCAATATTCTTGCCAGAAGAATCCCATGGACAGAGGAGCCCAGCAGACTATAATAGTCCATGGGGTCGCACAGAGTCGGACATGACTGAGCGACTTAGCACAGCAAGTAAAGAAGTTATCCACGCTTGCTGTCAGGAGAATTTACCATTACTCACAAAGAGGCACATCACAACTGGACATTTTCACATTCTTTTTGACTACAGCTTTTTACAAAATAGTGAACATGTGCTATATAGTAGGTCCTTGTTGTTTATCTATTTTATATGCAGTAGTTTCTATTTGTTAATCCCAAATTCCTAAATCACCCTCCCTTCCTTTCCTCGCTGGTAGCCACAAGCTTGTTTTCTATGCCTGTGAGTCTATTTCTGTTTGGTAAAGAAGTTCACTTGTAGCATATTTTAGCTTCCACATATAAATGATACCATTTGTCACAATTTATAAGAAACCAACATTAAAAGTAAGACAACATTGCTCTAAAATTTATAATGTGATATTTGGAAATTGCCCAGATATTTAGCACAGAGAGGAAGGGGAGGACCAAAGTGTTTAGGAACACACCCCTTGACAGGTAAGGCTATGTGTCCAGACACCAAGTCCAGCAGAAATGGAAAACAAAACAGTGTCACTCCTGAAATGACCTCCAGTGGGATCCTCATTTATGCTGAATTTTATTTTAAAACCAGTCAGTCTGTCTCCCACTCCCTTACATTTACTATCTCTTGAGCAACATCAAACTGCGTGTAACCAGGGGTTGAAACCATGCCTCCTTATGCAGCCTCCAAGCCTCAATTCCAAGCACAGGGCCTAACACACAACAAGCTCTAACTCTGCACTGGCTGAACTTAATAAAACTGAGCACCGCTGCCCTCGGGGCTCAGTCTCCCAGCCTTGGGCATCCTCGTCACTCTCCTCTGTGGGCTTGAATCCCCCGTGTGCACAGCTGTCCTCTGACACCATATTCCTGACAGCCTGTACTTCCAGACTTCATAATATCTAAGATAGACTTACATATTTTCTAAAATATCCATCCATATATGAAGCATCCAGGGGAATCATATCCTCTGATAATGATGTTATTATTTCTAATTATTTAGTCAGCCACAACAAGCATGAATTTCACATGAGTAATATGTTTCAATGGTAAATGGGGAGTTTTCAAGGCATTCTTTGAAAAATTACTTCTATTTGAACATTGTAATATGTGGATCAATGTGGGAAATAAATGTTATGCTTGAAGATACTAAAGTAATCAATAAGTTATTTCATTATCAAGAGACCTAGAGATTTGATGAATTTGTTTAAAGGCATCTCTATAAGATGTTGAGCTATGAGTTAAAAATGTGTGAGGAAGGCCAGCAAACTAGTCACCTCTGAAAAGAGACTTAAAATGGAAAAGATGAAATATGGCAACGGAAACAGAGCAAATAGGAAACAAAGAGGAAAAACACAGATTAATAGCAAGAACAAAAAAGGAATGAAGAACAAATAGAAAAAAAAATAGCAGCCTGAGAATCCAATTCTCCTATGGAGAGAAATAACACAAATCTGCTGGATCGTGTAACGTGGAAAAAGACTCGCTAGGGAAGCAGGTGGGTGATAACATGGCTGGTATTTCATTAGACATAAAACCAGTTGTGAAGAAAGTGGTGTGATGCTGAGGTCTAAACACCAAATACTTAGATTTGCTGCTGTTACACGAGAAACAGTTTCCATCAATGGGAACAGAGAAGGGATTATTTCCATTGGTAAATGCCACCTGCAAACAGATGTATGTATTTTACACCATACATTCAAACTGCTCTGAAATTTTCTACTCATAGTCACAATGCTTATCATAGCAGATAAGCCATAATTTCTTTGTGATGTATATTATGTAGAAAACTAAATTGAAAAATTTCACAATGGCAGAATTTTACCTCAAGACAGATTATAAATCACTTCACATTTACTTACTGGAAATCCACGAGGTCCTGGCACACCAGGTTCTCCCTAAAAATAAAAATAGCTCCATTGTACTTAGCTTTTTTAGCATGAGCATGTAAGTATGCAAACTGTATAAATATTAAAATCATTAAAACACTCCATCTTAGTGTTTGAATGCAATTTAGTTCAGCCGTTATAAGACATGATTTTGGTTGAACAAGTGTATTTCAGCCACTTCACAACTAATCTGTTAATTGATCTGGAAACACTACAATAAAATTATGCTTCAGCATTTAATTGATACCAGCAATTAATACCAGGTGGCTAACTTACTTTCTGTCCTCTTGGTCCAACAGAGCCTGGGGATCCATCAGGACCTGTTAATCCCTAACAAAGCAAGATGATATTAGAACTAATACAACATCCTTAGGCAAGCCACTAAGTGGATAACTCCATTTTATTTATTAATTACATGCAGGATAGTTTACCTATGTATGGTGCAAGTCTTTATAAAGAAAAACCTTTCTGTATTCCTACTCAAAGGTAATGTCTGACATGACATCTGACTGTTATAGTTACTTTCTGTTAATAAATTGTATCCTGTTCATAACTTGCCACTAAATGCACTGTTTATCACAGGATTCAATAATTTAGTACTTTTGTCTCTGCTTTGAAAAAATGGGAGGTAATAATTACGATGTTCTAATAGGAAAGTCTAATGGGACAACTCCAATACTTTGGCCACCTGATGTAAAGAGCTGACTCATTTGAAAAGACCCTGATGCTGGGAAAGATTGAAGGCAGGAGGAGAAGGGAACGACAAAGGATGAGATGGCTGGATGGCATCACCTACTCGATGGACATGAGTTTGAGTAAACTCCGGGAGTTGGTGATGGACAGGGAGGCCTGGCGTGCTGCAGTCCATGGGGTCGCAAAGAGTCAGACACGACTGAGCGACTGAACTGAACTGAAGGAGACAACAGGACTGGGCTTTGCCACTTAGCCACGCTCCGCATCTCTTGATTTCATTTATAAGGCAGAATGTTTGATACATGGATGTCTCTGTACTCTCAAACAACATCTTTAGTTAAAATGTTCCTTCAGTAGTGATTAAAGCTGATCAATCTCATTACTGCCTTTGGGTCACCTAAAGCCCCTCAGGTTCCTCCTAGCAATGACAACTGCTTATGGAAAACATTAACTTTTAAAGTTGAATCATTGTAGAGCAGGTTTCTAGGCTATCTCCTTTAGTGAAATAGCTATATTAAATATACATTTTCATGTGTGCCACTCACTATGTGGACTCTAAGTCCATTGCTTTAAAGCACATTTATAGCATCACACATAATGCTAAGGTAGTTATTAAAGCATCACTTCCAACCATTGTTGCTTTCCCTACCAGTATTTATTTTATCATCCTAATATAAAATAGATATCAAACCATGCTAATACTACACGTACATCTAAATTTCCACATCGGATGAAGACATATTTTTATCTTTTAGTTTTTTCTTTACTTTTAGCTGTTGTCATTTATAATATAATATTGAAATTATACTGTACAAAATACAAATATATGTACCTATATATGTAGATATATACATACATATATGCACATACACGTATATACATGCATAAATAAATAACTTATAAAACCTATTAGCAAGATTTTGAAAAAAATTAAAATGTTAATCTAGGAATTCCTTGAATATATGAAAGTCTAACTTAAAAATGAATCACCAAGGTCCATATTTAATTGGTCAGTCTGCATAAATAACAATATAATGCATTCATGTAACTTCTGTAGAAAACTATTTCACGAGCCACCATTTTTACATTTCTCTGCATCAATCAATTTCCTTCATAACTCCAAAGACTGAATCAAAGGAAGTAGAAAAGAATGAGTTGACAATATTAATTATTGGAAATTTACCAAAGAAGAAAGTTATTAAACACACGTGGAAGGATTTTTGACAGACTTTGATTTTCAGTCTCTCTAGTGTAATTACAACGCTCTAACTTGGGAACAGGCCTTAACATCTCAGTTGCTGAGCACCTATGGTAAGGGAGCACTGGCTTCTGTCTGTCAGCAAATAAGCCACACCCCCGGGAGCTCTCTGTAAACACAATGGCGCAAGGGCTTTACAAACCTCAGGGCGGGTCTGACTAAAGGGCTTCCGTCTGTGAGCAATAAGCCACACCCCCAGGAGCTCTCGGTAAACAAAATGGCGCAAGGGCTTTATAAACCTCAGGGCGGGTCTGACTAAAGGGCTTCTGTCTGTCAGCAAATAAGCCACACCCCCAGGAGCTCTCTGTAAACAAAATGGCGCAAGGGCTTTATAAACCTCAGGGCGGGTCTGACTAAAGGGCTTCCGTCTGTGAGCAATAAGCCACACCCCCAGGAGCTCTCGGTAAAGACAATGGCGCAAGGGCTTTATAAACCTCAGGGCGGGTCTGACTAAAGGGCTTCCGTCTGTGAGCAATAAGGCACACCCCCAGGAGCTCTCGGTAAACACAATGGCGCAAGGGCTTTATAAACCTCAGGGCGGGTCTGACTAAAGGGACTTCCAATGTCCACTTCACACATATACCCTCTAAGGCCCGTCCTGGTCAGTCCCCACACACACAGCCAACTAACAACCTTTAATCAGGGACTAAAACCACTGACAAAGTTGGAAGACAGTAGCTACTACAGAAGGTAGAACTTCAGCTGCATGATAAGGAAGCAGAGTGGTTGGATAACCTGGAAGCTGCTTCCAGACACTTCTTGTCTCAACTGTCTTCCATAAGACATGGTGAAAGAAAGAAAGAAAGTGGGGCTTCCCTGGTGGCTCAGATGTTAAAGTGTCTGCCTCCAATGCGGGAGACGCGGGTTAGATCCCTGGGTTGGGAAGATCCCCTGGAGAAGGAAAGACATGGTAAACCACATCTAATCACCAGGAGGCTGCGAGTTAATGAGAATGTATTCTGGCATCCGATCTAGTGAACTCTGTTGTGACACAGCCATGCATTAAACCATAGGCTCCGTGAGGACAGGACTCCATGACCATCACAATCTGAGTACACTGCCTGAGCATCTAACACATGCAGCACAGAAGATTACAGAAGGCTACTGAACAGAGACTTGAAGACTTCGGGCTAGCCTACTGGGTGGAAGGATTTCACACCTGTCCCTCCACATCATCTTCATTTTTGGTTCAAATCCCAGCTCTGCCACTTAATTCCTAGACCACTGTGGGCAAGTTACTCAACTGTTTCCTAACCTGTAAAACAGGTATAATGTTAATATCTACCTAACATGGCAACTTTGAAGATTCACTGAGATATTGTACACAGAGTGTTTACAACAGTGCCTGGAACAGCAGATGCTAAGTAAATGTTGAGCTTTTCTTATTATTATCATTATTATGTAGTCAGATTATCTAGAAGCTAATGAAGTAACATTTCCTGCTCTCTGGGAGCTTAAAATCTCATTCAGAAGAGATTCTGCAAAAAAAAAGAACCAGCAAAAAAATCTGGATATTAACCACAGGCACTGTGCTTCACAACCCCCTCACATTTCTCTGATGTCTGACTATTTCCGCTTACATGGCCTTTCAGAATAATTTCTTTATTACTCACTATCCTAATCATATAACATCACAGATAATAGTTGTATACATTCAGAGGATGTTCTAATCTCTCTCCTATAAAACATAGCATAACTTAACTATAATTCATGTACTTAATTCTAATTCCTCTTTTCTGTATCTTAGACAGATGCTATAAGAATGAAAAAAAAAATACTCTTTTAGAGCTCTTAGAGCTCACTAAGTATGCCACAGCATAAGTGCCTATAAGAGTATAAGTTATTAATGATAACAGCACAATTGTCCTTTGAGTGCAGAGCTTGCAATCAAGCTTGGATTTCTTTAATGTTATGTGTCTATAAGGGAAAAGAATCAACTTAAACTAAGGAAAAGAAGAGTTTTTTATATATGTATATAAGTCTCCTACAACTTACATTTATAAACATATGCATAAAACTCCAATTTGCATCATTCTTATCTGTCAAAGAAATGACAGAGGAATATATTGCCAGTGGCAGAAAGAACTGCTTTCATATGAATGTTTATGAAGATAAGGTTCTATATGGGATAAAATTAAAGCCCACTGTATCCTGAAATTTCCCACTGCTGCTTGGCAAAGCAAGCAGCCCTCACTAGTAATTTCCTTCCAGCATTCCACCACTCAGTTCAGGAGACCCAAGCCATAATCTTACAAGACTAACTGCCATGACTCATTTACCTTTTCTGTCAAAAATCCACCTAATTCAGGATAATAACCTTTAAGCCCTGTTCTCTTCAGATTCTTCCAAACACTATCTGATTAACCATTTGTTAACATTATCAAAAAATGCGGCATGTTTGTGACTGCACTTAAAAAAAGTTTTATACAAATGGAAATCAGTATAGTTAATTTTTTGCTTAGTTCTAAGCATGAGTTTGAGTAACCTCCAGGAGTTGGTGATGGACAGGGAGGCCTGGCGTGCTGCGATTCATGGGGTCACAAAGAGTCGGACACGACTGAGCGGCTGAAGTGAACTGAACTGAAGAAATGTCTAAAATACTGGCACATGCATGAACTTCTTACTTTTTTCTCTCCTTCCTTTCTCTTTTTCTTTTTCTGTTGCTTTTCTCTGCCATCCCAGAAAATTGATTCAATGCCCTCATCAGGATCTTACAGAGTCAAAGTTCTATGATGTAAGGAGCCTTACTATTTTACACCTTTTAACTTTGGAAATCTTATTTTGAAATGGAAATCTGTGCTATGATACAGCAATTATAGACAAAGAAAAAAGTACTTGCAATTATTGGTTACATTGTACTTCTAAAGATTTTGAAGAATTTTCTTTTTTATCCTATTTCTGTTTGAGTGTGGAAATTACTTTATAAAGTAAAACCAGACATTGTCTTTATGACTTTATGGTACTAGAGGAAGAAGAATTTGTTGAGCCTGCTACAAAAGTACCATCAAACCCAGACACAGACAAGTCTAGTCGTTTGTCTGAAATTATGCAACTCAATAGTAAAACAAGACTTTAGGTCATTCATTTATGTTTCAACCATGACAAAAATTAATAATAATAACAATATAGTCATTTAATCATCCATTTTCTTTTCACATAAAACAAGGTCCAAGGTTGAAAGGAATGCAGAAATAAATCTAACCTACTGGTTTATTTGCATTCATCAGACTTTTTTATTTGGATGCGACAGTTCCAAGTAATTCACTGTGTTTCAAAGAGATGTTTGACAGCAAACAAGTTGCATAATTTCAGTTCATATTATACAAATATTAGGTGGATATTCAGTTTGCGTTGTCCAAACATTAGTCCCTAGTGACCTCATGCACTGCCACTTTGCCTACATATAAAGTTCAAAGTAGGGTCTTTTTGAATAAAGAATAAAACAAAGTTAGTCTTCTAAAGCAATGAATTATTGTTGCTGTTGTTGTTTAGTCCCTAGCATAGACAAATATCCCCATTATACTAATCTTGATAAAGAAAGCACATCTTAATAACCACTAACATCTAGCTATTTTTCTTTTTCTCAAAATGAAGACTCAGTCTTAAACTCTAGCCAAAAGTTCTCAGAATCTATAATCATAGGTTTTCAAGGGCTTTGATTTAGAGAAGTCTTTAGTTTGGGGAAACCATATAAGGTGATAACTTGAAGGATAACTCAAGGAGCCCAGCACTGTCTGTTTTCTGAGAGCAGAGGCCTGGATGTCACTTTACTCTGTATCCCAGCCGGGAAGTCAAGGAGTGGGCCTCAGTAAATTCTCAATAGTCCAGTGTAGGGAGAGAGGAGATGAGAGCCAGGAAGTCCTTTCCTCTGAAGAAATGTTAACTAGAGTCGGGTTTACTAGGCGGCTCAGCATCTGAGCTGGCCTCCCATGGGGGCAGGCAGGCGTGTGACTGGGTGCCCTGGGGAGAGGCCGCTGGTTCCCAGGCTTCAAGCATCCCTAGTTAGCTTGTTTCTGTCAATGAGTGCGAACCAAGGAAACACGGAGGAAAGACGGAGAGCTAGGTTGTTGGTTTTTTTTTTACTTACATTCTAGAAACCATGAAGCAATGAAGTCTGAGTCTTCTGAGCTGGATTTCTCTAGATTTTATTTTTTTTAATTTTTTAATTTATTTATTTTAACTGGAGGCTAATTACTTTACAGTACTGTAGCGTTTTTTGCCATCCAGTGACAGCCATCAGCCGTGGGCGCACATGCGTCCGCGCCCAGGCCGGTGCAGGTGCAGGACCAGCCCCGCCCCACACTCCCGGCGGGCAGGCTCTCCCCAAGCCTGTCTTTCTCTGGTCTCCTCCTTGGGGTTTGGGGGGCTCTGTCCCTCCCTCTGCCTGCAGGCCCTTCCCCTAAACTCACTTAGAAAGTGCCAGGGAAAGGCCAAGAGCCAAGCCCCAGCACCCTGCAATGGGGTGAGTGGGGAGTGGCCGCTGAGAGGCAGAAACGGGTACCGGCCGCTGCTCCCGGAGCAGAGAGCGGGACACGCCAGTGCCGCGCCCCTCGGGGCCCCCCACGCGCCCCAGACCCTCGCGCAGAAACCAGGTCTCAGCGCCGAGCCCGCAGGCACCAGCACGTTCAGAGCCACCGTCTGGCCTTAGCTTGGACCGCAGCCGCCTGCACGCGGCACTCCTCTCTCTCACATGCACACACACACACTGGGCCTGTCTTCACGCCCCCAGCACCCACTACTCACGTCGGCGCCCGGTGTGCCCGGCTTGCCTGGAGCTCCTGGTTTCCCCGGCTCTCCAGGGGGACCCTGGGCAGGGAGGGGACAGGAGGGGGAGAAAAGGAAGAGAAAACGGAGCAAAGTTGAGCCTCATTGGATGCCGTGTGATCTGCAGACCACATTGGGAGGAAGGAAGTAGAGCGCCAAGGCGCTGATGTACTCACCGGGGGGCCCGGGGGCCCTTTTGGACCGCGATCACCCTGGAAGGCAGGAGGGAAAGCAGGGCAGTGGGTGAGTGGAGGGTGCTGGGGCCCCTCCGGGTCAGGGACAGGACAGATGGTGCGGGGCTGTGATCAACCGCCCGGGCCACGGGACGCAGGACCGCCTCCCTCTGCAAGTCCCCAGGTGTCTCCCAGGGCCCCACTCCCAGCCCTCACCCACGTCCCTTCCCGCCTCTGGGTAGGGGGCTTCGGGCCCCCTCAAAAAATCCACCCGAGCCGCTGGGAGAGGGGCAGGGGCTGGAGGTGGACACTTACGTCGATGCCGTCGATGCCCGGGACTCCAGGGGGACCCGGCGGCCCCGGAGGACCCTGCTCACCTGGGGGGCCCCTCTAACAAAAGAGCACACGCGGGTTAGGGGAGCACGAGGAGCAAGCACAAGAAGGTGGGCCCGAGCCTGCCGCCTCCCCGCAAAGACAGTTGCCCCGTGGAGGCCAGGTTCAAACCCAGCGGAACACGCGGGGACCAGACTTCCAAGGAAACGCGGTTGCTTCCCCTCCTCGAGGTTCTGAACGAGGCCGACAGTGAGGTGAGAGCAGAATCTGGGCCCCCAGAGTGGGGTCCTCCCGTCTACGGAGCTTTAAACCCAACGGGGCTTGTGGGGAAGAGAGGGCCTCTTACTCAAGGGGCTGGATCATGAAGATGGTGGTCACTGAATTCCTGAATTTAATCAGGAAATGCAGGTCAGCCTTTTGGATAAAGTGAGACAGCTCAGAATCGAGACGGGCAACCCCAGATCAACTCCAGGATGGTTTTGTAGAACAGTCTGGGTTCCGAAGAAAACGGGGGGGGCCCTCTTAGGGAGAGACTGGGAGGCCGAGAAACCCTGAGAGGGCCCAGCCTCTCTTCAGATCCTCCTCTTGGAGGTCTGTGCACCTCGCTTCAGAACGACGCCAAATTTCAGGCCGACCCCAGGGTGTGACCCCTTTTATAGATTGCAAATAGCTCCGCTTTGATGGCGCTTGACGGAAGGCTGGCCTCTGAAAATTTAGACGCGTTTTAGGAAATGTGGGAATTTTAGGTTTTTTCTCTTCTGAATTGAAAGGGGAAAAAAAAAAAAGGCTTCTTTCATCAAAGAAACCTTGGTTTTTCTAAACTCCCGGTGACCAGACAGGTTACAATGGGGTCTTTGTAAGTGAAACCTCAAACGGCGCCGGGTCTCCCGCGCCCCCGCCTGGTGCGGCCGAAATTCCGAGGTGAGCCCGGGCCGCCGAGTCCACGCAGGCGGGATGCGGAGTTGCCTGGGATCGCGCCTCCCCCGGGCCGGGCCCGCCCGGGACTGGGGGCTGGGAGGGAACGGAGGGAGGAGAGGAGCACCGCTGAAAATTAAAGCCCCGGCCTCCAGCCTCCTGGGGCGTCCACGGCCCGAGCCTGCAGTGTGGGGCCGGGTCGGTGAGGGGGCGCCAGCTCTCGGACCCTCGGGGTGTCCCCTCGAACCCCCGCCTCCCACCTTGTTCGCCGCAGGTGCGCGGCCCGAGGATGCGCGGAGCCGTGCGGCCCGCGGGATGCTCAGCGTCTCCCCGCGCTTCCCGCGACGGCTGCACCCCAGCCTCGCCCTGCGCGCGCTTGGAACGCTCCAGCGCTTCTCGCCCCCGGCTTACCTGGTCGATGGTCTGGAAAAAAGAAGAGACGAGGGGGGAGACAGTGAGAAGGCGGCCCCCCAAACCCGCGCACAACTTACTTGAGCCGCGCACAAGCAGAGCCCCGACAGCAGCAGTCTCAGCCCGAGGGCCCCGCGGCCCAACGCCGCCCAGGCCATGCCCGCCGCGCGCGCAGTGGCGCTGGTCCCCGCCAAGAGCGCCCCCGGGAGCCGGGGATGCGAGGGGGCGCCGGCCGGGAAGGCGTGAGTTCCTCCTGTTTATGAACTGCCCCCGAGAGGGTCCCAGGGATTGGAGGAGAGCTGGCGGGCCAGGAGGACGGATAGAATGACAACAGTCCCCCTTAACCCTTTCCCCGCCTCCGCCCCCACGCCCCTGGGGAGCCTCTCGCGGTCCCCAGAGTCTTCTCCGGTGGCCTGTGTGCCACCGAGGGCTTGAGTAGTCGACTGGCATTTTCCTGGAGAGAGGCTGGGGGGTGAGAGGTCCGGGGGCTGGGGAGGGTCGTAAGCCACCCAAGCTGGATCCATACCCCCTTCCGCCGCCCCCCTCCCCCGCGCAAGTGGTTTCTACCCGCCAGACTGTGGGTGGGACCCGCGCTTCTTCAATATCTGGCCTGTGCAGCAAAAGCCTGGACTTTTAGACAAAGAGTGAGGACGGGGCGAGTTTGCGGAGGTGTAGAGAGGGAGCTGGCTGCAAGCGGCCTTTGCAGGTAGTCTAGGGACTCACCGTGATCCTGGCTGGCAGCTCATGGCAAGTTTCTCTCCGGGGTCGCAGTGGGTCACAATGGATCAGCATCCATTGAAGTTCAAACTGGAGAAAGACAGCAGCCAGTCAGTTAGGTCTCTTTGGAGAACAGAAGTGGGTCATTTAAAAGGGAGATGCGATGGTAAATGTGGTCCAACTGTTGCATCAGGTCATCAATTCATCTCAGCAGACTAGGACTGTTGTTCCTTGAATACAGTTTTTCCAGGGGGAATGGACTGAAAATCCTTCCCAAGTTTCTCCTATCATGGGATGTAGATGACTTAGCTCTGCATTGCTCCAGCCAAGCCCTAGGCAGGAAACCCACCAGGGATATTTACTTCCTATTTCTGTTCCCACCACAACCTTCAAGAGGTAGATTCTATTAAAATGAGTCTCAGAGAGAAGAGGTAACTGTTCTAGGCACAAGCCAATAAATGTCAGAGTCTGGATGGGAACCAAGGCCTACAGAACGCCACAGAGGACATATTCAATAAGATTTCACTCAGGAAAAGATTAGAAACAGACAGCAAAGAGGTGGCACCAGGAATAAAATAGCAAAAGGAAAATTGGTCCCTGGGAGAATATACATGATAGATATTGGCCATTGAGTGTCTCTGCCTAAAATGGAAATAAGATCTAGAAGTGGAAGGAATGAGAGAAATCTAAGACTCAGGGAAAAAACAAGAAAATAAAAAATACTTGAACTTTGCATAATACTTATATTTTCATTGGTTGAAGAGAGATAAAATTCCTGGACAACTAAAAGTCGGCTGTGTCCTAACAGCTTCTTACGTTTTAGCAGGTGCTAAGGGAGAGAGAAAAGAAGGACAGGAAAGAAGTAAAAAAGGAAGAAGGGCCAGGTCTGAATGTGAAAGCCTCAAGTGAGAAGGTATAAAAAAAATTGGTGTACCCACAGGAAGCCTGACACCAGGTACTACTCTGGCCCCTCTTCACTGAGGAAGTTCCTCACCAGGCATTTCCAATCAGATCCGTAATTCTTTATCAGTTGATTCTCCTGGCATTATGCAGATGTCTAAGTAAGTGACCAGGTCCCAAAGCTAAACATAATGCATCTAAATGTAAAGTGATATAAGGTAAAGTGATCTCTTTTCTTCATCCAGTGGTGATTTACCCTCCATCCCTCTTGCCAAAAGGGCTCAATCTACCAGATCTAGAATTGTTAGATGCATTTTCCCATTGTTATAAAAGCATCCAGAGTTGAGGTTACTAGATGAAAGATCAAATTTGAAAAGAATGAAAGATGAGCTCCTTCCCTTCTACCCACAGAGGAAGGGAAAGTTAAACAAAAGGTGGCTTTTCATTTTATAAAGGGGTGAAAATAAGACATGAAGCTTTGACGTCCCCACACTGATGCCCCTTCTCACATGATTCTAATTGCCCTGGAGTTCTCTTCCTCTGTTTTCTTGTTTCCCTCAACCTTCCCGTGCCTTTTCTCCCAAAATGTGGACAACTAGGGAAATGAATTAATTGGGATGAAAAGAAAGCTAAATCAAGACATATTTTGAGATGGACAGGTGTCTACAAATTGTATGAAAATGATGCCCTATCAGCATACACAGTTGTGTGTTCTTGGTGTGAATTATTTTACGATAGCATATTGACATCCTACAAAGGCACTGCTTTCCAAACCACACAGTATCTTGCAGCTAAGGATATCACTTTAATCAAACACTTTATTTTTAATCAGAATAGTCTTGTTTGCTTGGGAGGGATTTTATTTTGGTTCTGTTCTAAACTGCAGGGGAAGTTTTAAAAAGAAGATGAAAGAATGGACCAGCCTTTCCCATAATGATTGTTAAACACGAGGCACCGCCCCCAACAGCTCTTGGAGGCCAGCCATATATGGGTAAAGGGGCTCAGAGAGGTTAAGTCACTTGCCACAGGCCACACAGCTAGTAAATGTCAGAACTGGAATTCCAAATGTGCCTCAAAAATAAGGTCAGTCTCCCGAGAGAATACACCCAATCTCCAGAATGAAGTATGATTTTTCAAGCAGGTACCCCTAGCACTTGGTGATTAAACACTTGCATTAAAAATTAATAGAAAAGACAGATCTAGAAATAAAAACTGCATAAATTTGTTTCCAACATGTACTAGAAAACTTCAGAACTATACTAAGACATTTCATTAAGACAAAAAATTTCCCTATTTGCATGCTTGTTATAGAAATATATCCAGAAACAAAATTTCTGCTGTTGCTCCCCAAATTAGCAGCTGCTTCTATATGCAGTTACATATTCTTGTGTATGACAAAAAAATATGACATATAGGAAATATGATTTCTCTTCCTTAATGACCAGATAAGTATTTTACCAAAATAAGAAAAGGTTTCTCCCCACCCCTAACTCTCAAAATACAAGAGACCACTCATACAATATTATTCCCTAAGTCCTTGGAAAATTGATACCAAACTGGCATTCATTGTATGTGTGTGATATTTTGATTCTCAAAAATAATTCATACCTTAATCATCTTGAGAAAGTTTAATTATACAGCTAACCAGGAAACCTATATCCTTTGTATGGATTGTTCATTTAAGTTACTTATTGCAAATGCAAAGTAATTTGTTAAGCTATTTTCTCAGAAGTGTAATTCTCTCTGGATAAATGGGCACACCTGTGTAAGCATGCACGGTGCAGTTGTGATGCAGGATAAAAGGGAATGAAATGGAATTCATCTGTGAATACAGGTGGGTTGTGACAGAGTGCCACCCAGGTCAGAGGTTTCTGAACACATCTCTGCTTCCACATAACCACCACCTACGCACTATACAATAACTGTTTGGGGGCATGCAATATTAATTCCAATTTCCATGCTAATAATTTTGAAGGTAGATTGGCAGAGTTCCCTAGTAAAAGTCACTTTCATTATACACCTAAAATGTTGATTTCCACACATCTCATTTTCAGACCTGCAACCATTCTTCTCTTTGAATACCCATGGACAAAATATATGTGACAAATGTTTTAATTTAGTCTTTTACTTTTGAAGTCCCAGTAGAAGCCAAGCATTAAGGAAATATTCTAGAGAAACCACAGGTATTTTCCTTTTCACAATAGAATTACAGTATGTTACACTTGAGAAAAAAATTCTAGAAGAGAAGTTAAAAAAATGTTTTTTATGAATCTGTTAAGTAGAACATAAACTGCCCTAGGCCAACCTATCTTTCTCAACATAAAATACTTCTGCATTGTTTCAAGAAAAACAGTTGTGTAAATGTAAGCTACCTTCATCTGCCCAAATTCGTCATTACCCAATTCTTTTCCAAAAAAGGTGTAATTCGTGCCAGTCCAGGTTGGATGCCTGAGACAAGTGCTCGGGGCTGGTGCACTGGGATGACCCAGAGGGATGGGATGGGGAGGGAGGTGGGAGGGGGGTTCAGAATGGGGAACACATGTGAATCCATGGCTGATTCATGTCAATGTATGGCAAAAAACCACTACAATATTGTAAAGCAATTAGCCTCCAACTAATAAAAATAAATGAAAAAAAATAGGATATTCCCAATTAAAGAATAAAAAAAAAAAGGTATAATTCGATCCCCTAAGGTAGAGTAGCTGGAAAATCCCAGGGACGGGAGTCTATGGGGTCACACAGAGTCAGACACCACTGAAGTGACTTAGCAGCAGCAGCAGCAGAAAAGTAGAGTAGCGTCCAGAGGACAACACATTAAAACATGGAATTTTGGCCCCAACTCTTAACTGTTATTCAGGCTAGGGATTTTTACTTATTTTGCTAGGATATCAATAAATATTAATAAAGTACTTAAGCCTTTCATAAAAATTAAACAAAAACTAATAGCAGACAACTATCTTTTCCTCCTGAAAGGGAATTCTAATGACAAACTATGGGACTTAGCTCAATATTAAGGGGAATGGAACAAGGCTTAATTTTTTTTGCAAACTGAATTATTAACTTTTATATACAATGCCTAAAAACTAGCTCTTCAAAGATAAATTCTTAAACAGGAGATATGTTTCATTAACAGTTTTGTCTAGACAGTGACAACAAAGGTTTAGAAAAATAGCTTGAAACCACAAGTTATTCACAAGGAATTCAAAAAGAATTCATGCTTCTTTTTAGTTTATGAAGAAATGTTGGTTTCTGCCATCATAAGGGAACTCCTCTAGGTGAAGCTTCCTGGCAACTGAGCAGGAGGCTCTGAGTTGCCATGAAATCAAAAATCCCCCTAACTCTATGTAGATGCTAGGAATGTGGTTAAATATGCTTTACATTTACTCATTTTTAACTCAACATATCTTCATCTAACATTCATGTGCTTCAAGAGAGAGAGACTATAGAAGGCACAAAAATGTTTAGTCTATAGGACACTATCTAAGCTGAAAAACGCTTTGACAATTAATACAATGGTAGTAGAGATGAGAAAGATATACTTCTGGCTAAAGCCATCAACAGGGGGGTCATATAACCTGGAATTCTAGGTTTTCCTAAGCAGAGATTGGGAAGGTGAAGAGGTGACAATAACTGGGAACAAGGGTGGAAAGTTATGCAGAGAGAAGGGACAGACTCGCTGTAGCAAAGAATTTTTCCCCCTTGAATTCTAAGGAAAATAATTTGAATATTATTGAGTAGATAATTATGGGATTGTCATCAAAGATTTTTTGCTATAGGGATGGGATGAGGGAAGGTGGCCTTAATTAGAAGGGCATTTCAGGGAGATGATGTGGTAATAAATGCTGGTCCTTTGAGGCATAAGGCAGTTACCGTAGCAGAGTATCAAGAAGAGCTACACTCTGAGTTATGGTGAGGTGTCCTGCGTGTCTTCCTCTCATGCCATATGCCCCTTCAGCTACCATCTTGCTTCCTGCTCCCCTTCATACAGACAGAGCTCAAAAGAGTGCTCTATGTTCATTGCTCCCAATTCCTCTCCCTTCCATTCTGTCTTTAACCCTTTCTGACTGGGCTTTCACTCTCAATGCTCCAGGGGATCTTGTCTCAAGACCAGCTCCATTGGTTTCTAACCCAGCAGTTAGCTCTACATCCTCATCTTATTTGTCACGTCTACAGCACTTGAGTGAGCTGAC